ACATGTGCATGTGACCTGCTGTGACCATTCACAGCTAGGCACTAGTATACAATGGATGGCATCATGAATGAAGCCATCCATTGTATACAACTATCATGTGACCTGCTGTGATTGGTCACAGCAGGTCACATGGTACCAGCTACGGGAGCCGGTACTCGGATCTGTCATCGGCCGTGTCCGAGGTGCACGGCCCGTGACAGATCCCGCTGCTGCGCCGCTCTACTGTGCCGCAAACTGCGCATGTGCGGGAGCACGCCAAATGGCGTGCACCTGGAATACAGGAGCGCATTTCAAGCCGCCAAACGGCCATTGGCCGGGCGGCTAATGGTTAAGGAATACAGGATTCTGACAACAACTAGGTTACACTGCTGGTTCATTCCACTGCTGAAGGGATGGGTATTCCCCAGAATTCCAAGATGCTGACTTAGAAGCTGGGACCCTCTGCCTCCACCCTCAATAGCTACATTAGTGATTCATAGATTTAAACAGAAGTATTGTGAAAGCTTTTTTGGCCATACTTCCCTTGTGGGTCACAGGAGTGCACTTTTAATTTCCTATGACCCAGAGTCTCCTATTATCTTATTGCCTGCTATTGGCTAATGTGACAGAACCACTCCAGGCTCTGGAAAAAAATCCTTTTTTGTATTAAAAGAGGTATTGACTGCAGAGAGAGAGAGACATCAGTTTGACCCTGTACAAATCATTAGTAAGACCTCATCTGGAATACACAGTTCAGTTTTGGGCACCAATTCACAAAAAGGATATTAAGGGGAACTGAAGAAAGTACAGAGAAGGGCAACTAAACTGATACGAGGCATGGAGGAGCTCAGCTATGAGGAAAGATTAGATGAACTGAATTTATTCTCTCTTGAGAAGAGGAGATTAAGGAGGGATATGATCAACATGTATAAATACAGAAGTGGTCCATATAGTGAACTCAGTATAGAATGATTCACCTTAACTCCTTCCCGCTGGCCGTACACATACAGTCAGGTCCATAAATATTGGGACATCGACACAATTCTAACATTTTTGGCTCTATACACCACCACAATGGATTTGAAATGAAACGAACAAGATGTGCTTTAACTGCAGACTGTCAGCTTTAATTTGAGGGTATTTACACCAAAATCAGGTGAACGGTGTAGGAATTACAACCGTTTGCATATGTGCCTCCCACTTATTAAGGGACCAAAAGTAATGGGACAGAATAATAATCATAAATCAAACTTTCACTTTTTAATACTTGGTTGCAAATCCTTTGCAGTCAATTACAGCCTGAAGTCTGGAACGCATAGACATCACCAGATGCTGGGTTTCATCCCTGGTGATGCTCTGCCAGGCCTCTACTGCAACTGTCTTCAGTTCCTGCTTGTTCTTGGGGCATTTTCCCTTCAGTTTTGTCTTCAGCAAGTGAAATGCATGCTCAATCGGATTCAGGTCAGGTGATTGACTTGGCCATTGCATAACATTCCACTTCTTTCCCTTAAAAAACTCTTTGGTTGCTTTTGCCGTATGCTTTGGGTCATTGTCCATCTGCACTGTGAAGCGGCGTCCAATGAGTTCTGAAGCATTTGGCTGAATATGAGCAGATAATATTGCCCGAAACACTTCAGAATTCATCCTGCTGCTTTTGTCAGCAGTCACATCATCAATAAATACAAGAGAACCAGTTCCATTGGCAGCCATACATGCCCACGCCATGACACTACCACCACCATGCTTCACTGATGAGGTGGTATGCTTAGGATCATGAGCAGTTCCTTTCCTTCTCCATACTCTTCTCTTCCCATCACTCTGGTACAAGTTGATCTTGGTCTCATCTGTCCATAGGATGTTATTCCAGAACTGTGAAGGCTTTTTTAGATGTCGTTTGGCAAACTCTAATCTGTCCTTCCTGTTTTTGAGGCTCACCAATGGTTTACATCTTGTGGTGAACCCTCTGTATTCCCTTTGGTGAAGTCTTCTCTTGATTGTTGACTTTGACACACATACACCTACCTTCTGGAGAGTGTTCTTGATCTGGCCAACTGTTGTGAAGGGTGTTTTCTTCACCAGGGAAAGAATTCTTCAGTCATCCACCACAGTTGTTTTCTGTGGTCTTCCGGGTCTTTTGGTGTTGCTGAACTCACCGGTGCGTTCCTTCTTTTTAAGATGTTCCAAACAGTTGTTTTGGCCACGCCTAATGTTTTTGCTATCTCTCTGATGGGTTTGTTTTGTTTTTTTTTCAGCCTAATGATGGCTTGCTTCACTGATAGTGACAGCTCTTTGGATGTCATCTTGAGAGTTGACAGCAACAGATTCCAAATGCAAATAACAGACTTGAAATGAACTCTGGACCTTTTATCTGCTCATTGTAATTGGGATAATGAGGGAATAACACACGCCTGGCCATGGAACAGCTGAGAAGCAAATTGTCCCATTACTTTTGGTCCCTTAACAAGTGGGAGGCACATATGCAAACTGTTGTAATTCCTACACCGTTCACCTGATTTGGATGTAAATACCCTTAAATTAAAGCTGACGGTCTGCAGTTAAAGCAAATCTTGTTTGTTTCCTTTTCAAATCCATTGTGGTGGTGTATAGAGCCAAAAATGTTAGAATTGTGTCGATGTCCCAATATTTATGGACCTGACTGTATATGCGGCCTCTCGGCAGGTGAGCCTTAACGCTGAGAGGCCACATATATGAGTACCTAAAGGCACAGTTACTGGCAGCTAACGGAAAAGCTCTACTTGCGATCAGGAGACTTCCGATCACGTGACCGCTGACAGCCAATCACGGCGGTCACATGATCAGAAACCCCAGCATCTGAAACCCCTTAAAGGACCGCGAGGCACCGGCGCCAAGGGGTTAAGGTCATCACAGAGGACAAGGGGGTGCTCTTTACGTTTGGAGGAAAAAAGATTTAATTTACAAATACGGAAAGATTTCTTCACAGTAAGAGCTGTGAAAATGTGGAATAGTCTCCTTCAACAGCTGATTCTAACCAGCTCAGAAGATTGTTTTAAAAAGAGGCCTGGATTTTTTCCTAGATGCACATAATATCGTGATATTAATATGTATAGGTAAAATTGATCCAGAGTTAATCAGATTGCCTCTCGGGGGATCAGGAAGGATTTTTTTCCCTGCTGGAGCAAGTTGGATCATGATTTATTGGGGGGGGGGTTTGCCTTCCTCTGGATCAATTGTGGGTAGTGTATAGAGATTTGTTTTACTGATGGTTGAACTGGATGGACCTGTGTCTTTTTTCAACCAGATTAACCTCCCTGGCGGTATGATTATTTCAGATTTTTAGTGCTGAAAGCGGCGGTACCATTATTTTGCATGGAAATATGTAGGTTTTTTTTGTAGGCTGTAATTTTTAGGAATAACTCACTGAAATCTGTCCGAACAAGAGTCTATTAAACATCCCGGGTATGATAAAATTTGAAACACGAAATCATAAATTATAATTTAATAAATAATCATAAAAAATAATAATATAATAATAATTCAATAATATAATCAAACCAAAAACACTGAAATTTGAAATATAGCGCCAAGTTCGCACATTGCTGAGCAAAGTCGCACAATCGTTTTCAGTGTCTGATGACGAATTTCCCCACGAATCATTATCACTCAATTCTGCAAGTGGTTCTGATTTACTATCACTGTTCTCTAGCTGATCTAAACCCGCTTTTGACCTAAAGGGACACTTTTTGGACGCCATGGACTTTTCTCGGCTTCCAGGCAAAAAGAACAGTCAAAATGCAGGCAGGGCAGAGGACAAAGCACTAGGGACAAAAATGTATGTGAAATGGGTTGAAACAGCAATGTTTTACTATGTAAAATTTGTTTGGAAAAAAATGACATTTTTTAAAATTTTCAAATTTCCCACCGCCGCCAGTGCCCGTACGTCCCGACGTCACAGGGACCGGAACACAGAAGCCGGATGCCGGCATCGGCCGGAGGAGATTGCCGGGGACGCTGCAGGGGACACATCGCGGGGGAGCGAAGGAGAAGGTAAGCTCTGCAGGGAATCCCTGAGCAGCGACGCATGGTAAGCCCGAGTGTAGCTCGGGGTTACCGCTTTTGGTACTGACATTTTACCCCGAGCTACACTCGGGAATACCGCTAGAGAGGTTAACTATGTTACTATGCAAGAGCTGTTGGAGAGAGTCAGGGGAGGGGCAAACAAGCATGATGTCCTCCTTATGAACAGAGGACTTCATAATATATTAGAAAGCTGATGGCAGACCCACATGGTGCCAAGTTTATAATTTTGCATAGTAAAAACCAGCGGCTTTGTGTAAAAAGGGAAGGCTTGATATACTTGCTGGTTTGTTTTTTGGCAATTTGGAACAAATTTAGGAATTTTGCCAAGGCACCTCTGAGGAACCCTGAAGGCAGTCAAAAAAAGGCTGTTCTATACTAAGGGTTGAATAGACTCCCTACAGCAGTGTTTCAATCAACCTTTTTTTTCAGTCACAACACCCAAATTAAGCAAAATGTTGAGACACCTAATCATATTAGAGTCTCCCCATCACGTCAGAAGCTCCCTTTTCACATCAGAGTCCTGCCTTCCAATCTTCACCACAGTGTAGCTGTAGCAGCAAGGCCATTAGAAGTAGGTATAGACAGAGACAGACTCTTCTGAATTGCTGGGGCAGCCCTGAATGCCACCCTCCCTGGATTACCGTCATGTATTTGCACGGTGCTGGCGGCCTGCCCACACAACACAGGACACTGTAAAAATATGAGATGCAGCATGGCACCCTTGACAAACCCAAACAGTACCCTGTTGAAAAACACTTCCCTACAGTGGATATTTATATATATTTTTTTTCTTAGTACTAATTCTCCATACGGGCCCCACCTGAGGGTAAAACTACATAATAACACTAAGAATTCGTACAACGTTGATAATGTACTTGCTTGATATGTAGGGAGGGTTATATGGGTATAGTGATAGTTGCTGATACATTTCTTTGCCATGGTACAGTTGGGCATGTATTTCTCACCTGTGAAATTTCTAGGCAGGGCAGTTTTCCCACTTGTGCTCCTGTAAACCCATACACAGAGTTAGCGCTCACTTTCAGCGCCAGTTGCCGTCCATCCAGAACCTTCTGCTTAAAAGGATCAGTCTCTTTCTTCAATTCAGTCTTTGCTCTGCAGAGATTAAAAATCAGATTGCTGTTATTGAGCGAATTTAGGTATGTTTCTAAAATGGCTTTTTATTCCAGATTGAGAACCTTTCCAGCTACTTTACAGCATGAATTTGTCTACATATGTATACAGTTCTGAAATTTGTAGTCAGATGCTTGTTAGTGGTCTTAGAGGACTCTTGTCCCAGAAAGTCAGTTTGAAATACAGTAAAAATTAAATGCTTTAGGGATTACTTACCGTTTTCGAGCGGACAAAAGATTTTCTAAGATCTCAGGCAGAAGCCCCTTACGTACACTTGCTTTTACAAATTGATCGCCTGTTGGAGTCTTGATAAAATCTTCAGGACTGAGTCTAGATATATAAGAATATTTATATATAGTATGAACAAGAAAGAAAAAAACATGTCTAACTTATTTCTAAAATATAAGAGAAAGTGCAAATTAAATGATTAGAGCAAATCTGAAAGTTATATACAAAAGAAGCACCTAGCACTTGAACCTCCAACCTGTGTTAACATATGCACAGCCACTTCCCGGGTCAATTAGTTCATTTCTGTGCCTTTGATTAGTAATGTGGCACGATAGGGCTGCCCCTTATTCCCCCTGATCTTTAGATTGACGTTGGAGCCATGCTTATGTACTATAAGAGCAAATACTGCAATATCAGACCTTGACACTACCAAATTTACTTACAAGGTCGAAGTATATGCTGATGATCTCATTTTCTTCATTTCGTTACGGGAATTGAAGATATATGGGTCCCCCTCAACAATAAGATACATGCGCCAAAATCCGAAACCTTGAATATTACCCTATCTTTGCAAAAACCGGAGCAGGTACAACACAACTTTCCCTTCTGTTGATTCTCATCGCATATTAAATACCTAGATGCAATGATCCTGGTTAATTTGAGATTAAAAAAAAAATCTAACCTTCGTAAATTGGAACAAAGTGGCGCTAGCTTGGTTTGGACACAACAGCATCTTAAAAATGAATGTCCTTCCCCCTTATATTATATTTAATGCAGACCCTTCAAGTTAATCTGCTACAGGGGTATCTGAAAGATTTAAGAGCCCATTTTTTGACTATGAGGAGGAAGGAGGATCTATCTTGGCCTTAACAAAACCAAGAGGTGGTATTAGGTTGCCGGATCCTGTAAAAATATCATGCAGCAGTTCAACTGATGAGAATAATAGACTGGTGCACCCAGAGGGAGCATAAGCCATGGTTAGCTTTAGAATTAGCCCCTTTCCCTAGCTGGTTTAGTCTAGACAAAACCCTCTCCTGCCCCAACAAAAACAGATAACATCCCATCCTCTAATAGGCCCCACCATAAACATTACTAAAACTATTTTCAAGACAACTAAGGTTTCCCCATAACCCAGCCCACTTCTACCAATTCTGGGCTTCACTCTCCTCCCATATGTACTACAGGTCCACAACCTAGTAGCCTCCTTACCAAAGGGACATTCAGGCTGTGTCATTTCTCTCATCAGAATAAGCCCATGACTACTGCATTTATCAAAGCTGCCTTTGGCACTTAGACTTTATGCACTGCACTGCCCTTGGATCTTTCCTTAGATCTTTACTGGCTAAATACAAAACTATCAGGGCACTCATGCTTTTCAAGAAACCTTGTGAGGCGGAACACTGCTTTAAGGCTGCAGAAAAATCTGCCTCTCTAGCCCAAGGACGATTATATTTTATCCCGTAGAAGACAATTATCAAAAGTGGAAAGCAGCAGGAAGAGCATATAATGTTGCCTTTTAACTCAGCTGACACCCTTTCTGGATTTGAGAATAGGTCTGCAAAGATGCTAGCATATTTCTCCAGAACAGATATGACATTTCAATCGCATACAGTACCATACACACACACACACCAAACAGGGTACCTTGGTGGAGAGGACTCCCGATATTAAACAAGTATTTGCAATAATTTATTCTACCCTATATAAACCACTTTTTCAACCTAACCATGTAACTTTGTAGAGAATCATCTCCCCTTAGCACTTCTCCCTTTGAACATGCTTTTTACTTTTTTCAGCTCTTCACTAGAGTGATGCACTGCAATTACTACCGAAAATGCAACCAATTCACAGAAAGTGGAACCAAACAACCATGCATTTTGGGCCACAAAAGACTTAATTTTTTTTTTTCCTTCCGACTGTCCCTAACAAAAACTGAATTTGTACAGACAAGGGCGAGTGAGGAGTCTTCTATTTGACTCATTCAGGTGTGTGTGTGTGTATATATATATATATATATATATATACATACACACATATACATACATACATACACACTGTAATATATATATATATATATATATATATATATATATATATATATATATATATATATATATATATATAAAAATAAAAACACACACACATACTTACACATACACACACAGTATGTAACTGGAGCGTCAGCTATCCAGCTCTATAAACAGGCTTTAACAGAGTAGTTAAACTGGTAAAAGTGGGAAGAAGCCTAGAGTGTCACTTGCTGGCTGTAAATAGTAAATATGAAATATTTATCTGTAAAATAAAAATATTTGCCTTTTTTCTCCTAACACAAAACTTTCTTGAATATGTAGACAAAATAAAAACACAAAAACAACACATTCCTTAAGTAGAAGAAAACTTCATGTGTGGAAATAGCAGTTTAGATTTTAAAAGAATACAACAGGGAAAAATAAACAGAGGCTGTACAAACCCATATTTTTCAATAGATCCAGTCTGCAGCAGAGTAGTATAACAGAGATTGTGAGCCATCATTATAGATGGGTACAGGGATGAAAAATCAAGAGTGGCAATAGGGACATCATAATACCTAAAGAAAATAACAATAATATATAATGTTAGTATTAGTCTAAAACAATAAAGAAAAAAATTATTCTATGCATTAAGGTAAAAACTTTTCCCTGCTTGTGCCTCACACTCCCCCCCCCCCCCCCCCAAAAAAAAACTAACTTCAGGTGATTGGACTGTGGCAATGCTTTAAAGGACCCCGTCCCACTCTGTTATGTAGCAAGCAATGCAGAGTAACACAGGAACAGAGGGGAGGGTTGCCTGTGTCCTGTACTCCATTCTCTGACATATCAGATTGAACATGATGTTGGGATGAAGGGTCCATTTCCTTTAGAGACAGCTGAGGTAATACGCCATCCACTTGTCCACTCCCAGGATGTGAACAGCACAAATAATGCCACAGCAATTCTATGTCCACAAAACAATCAGGCTTGCTTGCTTCAAGGCTGCCCGAAACCTGGCACCGTCCCGGTGATTGATGTATGCCATAATCATGACATTGTCTGTATGCACCCCATTTGGGATCGTGTGCCACTAAAGGAGGAGGGGTCCAGGGGTGCACAGACATTTTTTTCACCCTAAGCTCCCAAGTGTTGATGGGAAGCCTGGTTTCCTTGGGTGACCATGATCCCTGTTAACCATGAGAGATTGGAGCATTCCTTCCAAGCCTGAGAGGCTGGCATGTTTTGTTCCCACCTTCCACTGATATAGAAGACAGACTGGGTTTAAAATCCACCAGCCTTAGGAAGCTCCTTGCATGGCTGGATAGAAACATATAAAGATCAAGAGGAAAAAGCATGCTTACTCTATGCCAACACGATGTTATGCTGGAGAGGTCTTGAATACCGTTCATTATACACATAACAAGTATTGGAGTTATTATAACAGATACTTGTTGTGGGGCTACATTAACGTCCAATAAACAGGACGATGCTGTCTTACTGGTCCATGTCACTGGTCCCCATATAGGGTCCAGGCTTCACCTCTCGTGGTGGGCATACCGGCAAAGGGGTCGTCAGAGCCCGAGTTCCATAGGGATGGACCTCGATTCTGGACCTGTATAGAACCCTGCATATAACTACACGTGTTGCACCAAGTGTCGATGTGAGCGCTCAAGCAAGATCCAGTGTTTGAAACAACTATATAGGCTGTCCTCAGGCTGTGGGGTTCGGGTACGTCTCCCAATGTTTTACCATGGTTGCATTAGAAGACAGTGAAGTGTTCACTGAAGAGTGATTTGAAGAATACCAGTGACAAACTAATTAAGCTAAGAGGGATACCTCCATAAGGGAGGTGAGAACGACATAGCGGATTTGGATAAGCCCCTCAGGGAAACATGCTGACGTCACAATGTAAGTGATGTCACCTGTGGTCACATGTTCCTCCGAAAGTCAAGCTGGCAGCTGTGAACTGAAATACCTGGCAGCAGCACTGTAGCAGTGATACGGCAGGGTGAGATAACCAGCAGGCAAACACATACTCAGAACAGCACAGCACTTGGAAGGCCTCATCAATGGAGGAAGGACTAACTTCTCCTCTCTTAACTGCCTGGAGCGAAGTGGACTGGTCATATGGATGGGTGAACAACTATACAGCCATGCTCATGCGAGCAGTATTCCTCACATTAAATTGCTTCATCCTGAAGGTACGCAGTAACCACTAATCATAGGCATGTATGGATGGATGGGACTTGTGATATAGAGTGGCTGATCTATCACATTATATGTTCAACTACAGTATATTCAAGCCCTAATAGATCTGTGCCTCATTACTCTTTGACTTGCTATCTTCCATTGGCTCTGTCGCTACAGCCTTATCTGGACACTGCTACACAGAGCTGACCTGCATATACATGGTCATTCTTTGACCAGACTATCACAGTGTTACCAGTATCAATTGTGTTGCATTCACGGATAGATTGCTACCTATGACCTCTGGAATTCTCAACACTATAGTAAGACTATAACGACATATCCATTTTGACTGCTTTTACAATAGCCAACTCTGCATTGCTAATTGCAACAACTGCTATATTAGTGGCTGTATTCTGATGGTGCTGTCACTTGCTTTCTGCTAGCGCCTGTCATTCTATCACTATTTCCAGCTAGAAATACATATATGGACAATATAGGGTCCATAAGATACAAATGGAAGGATCTAGCAGGTTTGAATTATGATCTTTGCCAGCAATGTACACATATCTGCCAGTGAGGTATTAAAATATATTTTGGGAATCAGGCTGACTGGAAAGGAGGTTTCTCCACTGTCAACCTGACCCATGTAACTTTTGTGGCCACATCTGACAGTCTGGGAACATGTGGGAAGACAACGTTGTCTTATTGTATGGTGATGGATGTTTTTTATATTTTTTTGTGTGGTTGTCTATATGTCCTTGTTACAATAAAATGTATAACTGTATATAATTCTTCTGTTGTATACTCTTTAGCCTCCAGAAGTAACCTCTGCTCTCTGTGTGTGAACTCTTTTGTTCACCTTTCTTCTATGTATATTTCTTTGGTTAAATGAGGCTGCACATTGTGTGTGAATTGATATCAGTAACACATTGCGCCTATTCTAGCTATTTATTTATTAAAGTTCACCTGTCGTGGTGGGCATACCCGCAAAGGGGTCATCAGAGCCTGAGTTCCATAGAGATGGACTTCGATCCTGGACCTGTATAGAACCCTGCAGATAACTACACGTGTTGCACCAATGTGCCAATGTGAGCACTCAAGCAGGATCCAGTGTCCAAAACAGTTTGGGTACGTCTCCCAAGGCTTTACTACAGTTGCATTGATCTAAATGCACTGCTTTTACTGTTGCTGTTGTTGTTAGAAGACAGTGAAGTGTTGATTGAAGAGTCAGTTGAAGAAAACCAAAATGAAATAATAAACTAGTTAAGCTGAGAGTGATTTCTCCATAAAGGAGACAAGGTCCATCACCTTTGTACTTTAGCAAAAACTCACAGATTGGTGAAGAGTTATAGGGGGTCATCCAGGCAAGTTTTCAAAAGATTCGACAGTGTCCAATCACTTGAAGGTACCAGCATATAACCCAGAGTCTAAGAATAACAAGCCTGTGTCCAGTTCTGTACGAAGCTTGGGTTTTGATTTTTATGTATGCCACCACTGTACTTAGTAGAACAAGCTAGTTACATTCGCAGTTTTTTCAGTCATGCACACAATGCTCACCCTTTCACAGGTTCAATGACAGTAGCCCCAGTGTAATCTTCACCACCTTCAGATTTTACCACTGGCATCACCAGATCTTGCTTCATTGCCTAAAGGGTTAAGAGAAAAGAAGCTTTAAAACTTGATAAGATAATGACACAAATGAATGCTAATTTCTATTAGTTAAAGCCGAAACATTTGCTCACATTTTCAATATTTCAATCATTAACACACACACACACTGAAAGTTCACCTGTGAGGTTAGAGATTAAAATTCATATGTCTATGTGTACACACAGGCGTCACAGCTCTAAATCAGATCTGACCCTCATACCACTTGTCCACAGACACAGACATATGGACGAAAATGATAAATGTAGCCAACAGAGGGGGAAAAAAAAAAAAAAAGGTATCCAATGTAGCCAAAAGATGACAAAAACAATTCAGTGAGTAGGTAAAAACCAAATAAACAACATGCACTAATCCTGGTAATGCTGCTGCATGTAAAGGAAGGGAAGACTACTGCTGTGTATGAAAACAAAAGGGAAGAGGAAAACAGTGCAAAGACCATAGTGCACCAAGAATGTAAAATTACACTTTATGAGAAAACAATAATAATGCACTCACAATTGTGTGACAGCAGACAGTAACATCACTGGAACAGGGTGTCAGAGTGGTGGAAGGCGGCATCAGGTCTAGTGTGTGATGTAACCATCTCCCCCTCAAATATAGGGAATGCTATACTCGAGCAACCAGTCCACAGCACAGTCAACCTGACCTCTGTCTGAACACACCAGCTGAAGTATTCACAGAGGACAAGTTTTGAAAAATTCCTCCTCTTCATAAGCCTTCATCAACATTCACATTGTTGTCAATGAAGCCTAGTGATGTTCTTAGACCCCTGAAACATGTTAGCAAGTTTTTGGACTGTCTCCCTGACTTTTATTGGAATAAGTTTGTATCTGGACCTATTAACAGTGGTGTGCTGCTACAGATTCCATTTGTTTCTTTTAGAGCAGCTTGACTTCTTTTGCCCACCAATGGTTTATGTAGGTCACTGTTGTAGTATTGTTCAACTGTATCCTGACTAAATGACCTTGCAAGGGTAGGTCCAGTGCAGGAACAGCAGTGGGAAGATGCTTTTTAGATGCTGTATGGCAGGAAAGAAAGCACAAAGAAAGCGCATTCAACACTCCACTCAGCTGTGGAAACCAGCGAGAAAGGAATTTTAATGGAGCCCAGCAACCTGTGTACTTGAGGTAGGCTACCCATGCAGAAAAATTGCAGACACTGAGGCAATGGCAGGGGCTCTGGGCCTGGAAAGTGCTCCAAGTCTAACTTGTTGTTGTTTATATGGAACCCATTGCCCGAAGGTCACTTCCAGGCTATCCCTGCAACATCCAATCCAGTGAGGTCTAGATGCAGCACACCAAAGGACAGCCATGAATGAAATGTATTTCACTGCAGTAAAGATTAAAGGAATTAAGTGCACTTTTGAAGAAGTTAAGGCTCACAAATAGACGAACTTTGCAAATCTGAGTAATAATTCTGTAGTTTGTCTTAAGAAAAATACCCATTTCAGCTTCTTCTGTACCAGAAACTTTTCCTGCTAATGAAGCAGAACTTTCTCATTTGTAACCTGTCCACATATATTCTGGGGTTGATTTACTAAAACTTGAGAGTGCAAAATCTGGTGCAGCTGTAAATGGTAACCTATCAGCTTCTAACTTTAGCTTGTTCAATTAAGCTTTCACAAAAGCCCTGGAAGCGGATTAGATTCTATGCAGAGTTGCACCAGATTTTGCACTCTCTAGTTTTAGTACGTTAAGCCCAAATTTTTAGGGCAGGTAAGACATTCATTTGGTAACAGATTTGGAAATATCTATTTTTTTAATATAATAGCCGCAACACCAGATAATCACAAATACAATAATCAATCTTTCTTATAAGGGTACCATGTTGGTAATACCCAAGTGCACTTTTCAGATTAAGAGAGGTTTTTCACTTTTGATGTTACACCACAACACATGAGTTACCAAATAATGTTTGGTATGGTGGTGTCTATCTCAATGTTAGAAGTGATCTCAGAGCGAGTGTGGAAGAGGACCTAGTTGATGAAGAGTGTGATGAGGCTGAAGTATTATGGGTGGAACTGCACATGGGGGTGCATACTACAAAGGTAATCACTGGAGTTTGTTATAGGCCTCCCAGTGTTAATGAGGAGGTGGAGACTCCTTGCACAGATCAAAACGGCTGCAAGGGCTGGGACAGTGATAATAATGGGGGATTTTAACTACCCGAAAATTGACTGGAGTAATAGTACTGTAGGAACAATTAAAGGGCAAACATTTTTTAAACCTACTAGAGGACAATTTTATGGTACAGTTCATAGAGGCCTCTACAAGGAATGATGCTCTGCTGAACCTGGTAATCACAAACCATGCAGAACTTATTACGAATGTCCATATAAAAGAACATCTGGGTAGCAGTGGCCATAACATGATTTCATTTATTGTTAGCTGTAAACAGCAAGCACATACAGGAAAAATAAAAACGCTCAATTTTAAGAGACCTAATTTTCCAAGGCTGAGAGCTGCTCTCCAAGATTTAGACTGGGAGGGAATATTGGCATCAATTAACACAACACAGAAATGGGAGTTCTTCAAAAAGACTGTATGTGAACACACTGCAAAATATATTCCCATGGGCAACAAGTTTAAGAGGCTAAAAATCAAACCTATGTGGCTTACGGCCAAAGTTAAAAAAGCTATAGATAAAAAAAAAAAAGAGTTTTTATTAAATATAAAAATGAAGGAACGTTATCATCGTTTAAACATTACAAAGAATATAACAGAATATGCTAAAAGGAATTAAAGATCGGAAAAATGTAAAACGAACGACAGATTGCAAAAGATAGCAGGACCAACCCCCAAATATTCTTCAAATATATTAATAGTAAAAAGGTCCAGTCTGAGCATGCAGGCCCATCCAAAATAATCTAGAGTGGGTGACTGGGGACAAAGAGAAGGTACATTTATTAAATACCTTCTTCAGCTACATGAATACAAAGGAGCATGGGGGAGCTCTTGTCCATAATGGGCATGGAATTGACACAGCTCCAGATGATCCACATTGGCTTACAACTGATATGATCCAAAAATATTTAGACAGAATAAAGGTGAAAAAAGCACCTGGACCTGATGACATACACCCACGGGTCCTTAAAGAATTGAGCTCTGTCATTTCAAAGCCATTGATTCTCATTTTTAGGGATTCTTTAATGACTGGCATAGTACCACTGGATTGGCATAAGGCCAATGTGGTGCCGATATTTAAAAAGGGGTCAAAATCTTTACCAAGTAATTATAAACCTGTTAGTTTAACTTCTATAGTTGAGAAGGTACTGGAGAGTTTAATAAAAGACCACATAGATGAGTTCTGGAAAAAAATATTTTAAGCAACAGAGACAGCATGGATTCATGAAAGACAGAAGTTGTCAAACAAATCTGATTTCTTTTTATGAGGGGGTGAGCAAAACCTTGGACAGAGGGGTGGCGGTGGATGTAGTATACTTGAACAGAGGGGTGGCGGAGGATGTGGTATACTTGGATTTTGTAAAAGCGTTTGACACAGTTCCCCACATACGGCTAATGTGTAAGGTAAAGTCTACAGGCTTGGAAAAATACGTATGTAAATGGATAGAAAACTGGCTAAAAGATCGTATTCAAAGAGTAGTGGTTAATGAGTCATACTCTGAATGGTCTAGGGTTGTCAGCGGTGTACCCCAAGGTTCAGTGTTGGCATCCTTACTTTTTAATATATTTATAATATATTTATAAACAATATAGAGTCTGGGATTAAAAATACCATTTCAGTATTTTCAGATGACACCAAGCTGTGCAGTGGAACAACGTCCTTACAGGATGTCTCCAACTTACAAGCCGACCTGAATGCACTGTTTAATTGGGCAACTATGTGGCAAATGAGGTTTAATGTTGATAAATGTAAGGTTATGCACTTGGGGGCTAAGAATATGCATGCATCATACATACTGGGGGGGGGTACAACTGGGGGAATCAATGGTGGAGAAGGATCTGGCAGTTCTGGTAGATCACAAGCTTAATAATGGCATGCAATGCCAAACTGCGGTTGCTAAAGCAAGCAAAATCCTCTCTTGTATTAAAAGAGGTATAGACTCCAGAGAGAGAGATATAATTTTACCCCTGTACAAATCATTAGTAGGACCTAATCTGGAATATGCAGTTCAGTTTTGGGCACCAATTCACAAAAAGAACATTAGGGAGAAAGTACAGAGAAGGGCAAACAAACTGATAAAGAGGCATGGAGGAGCTCAGCTATGAAGAAAGATTAGATGAACTGAATTTATTCTCTCTTGAGAAGAGGAAATTAAGGGTGGATATGATCTCCATGTATAAATACATCAGTGGTTCATATAGTGAACTCGGTGTAGAGTTTATTCACCCTGAGGTCATCACAGAGACTCCCTCAAAAGTTGGTTCTGGCTAGCTCAGTGGATTGCTTTAAAAAAGGCCTATTTATTTCTTAGATACACAGAATATAACTGGATACTAACATATATAGGTAAAGTTGTTCCAGGGAATATCCGACTGCCTCTCGGAGGGTCAGGAAGGAATTTTTTTCCCTGTAGGAGCAAATTGCATCATGCATTGCTGGATTTTTTTGCCTTCCTCTGGACAAACTGTGGGTATAGGATTATAACTTTTTTTTTTTTTAAATGGTTGAACTGGATGAACTTTTGAATTTTTTTAGCCAGACTAACTACGTAACTATATGTAACTATGTAACCTTACATTACATTTTTGCACTTATGCAGTAAGTGAACAGGTCATCCAAAGCTTTAAAATATGTTAAAATTGCAGGGTTAATAGGAAGAGAGGAGCATTACTATACAATTCTGTTGTTACAGCATCCAAAAGTTCAGTTCAGTTGCCTAGACCTAGCAGAGTCAGACTTGTAACCTGCAGATCCTACGCTCACACTTACTGGACCCACCCAAAACATGTCCCATTTATTTTTTTCCTGCCTTTGGTTCCTTTCCTGCCTTGCTCATATAACCTTAAGTCTTAGGGGCCCATTCAAAACAGAGAAAAGATATCAATGTCTTCTGAACTCTGCACTGCTTACTTCATGCTGTGCCTGTGTTACAACTCATTCATAAAATGTAATCCCCTGTATAAAGTCTGCACTCAGTGATTTTGAGCAGAGGCTTGTCACGTGACTTTGTCTGCACTCGATGTGCTGTTCTGCACTTAAACTATCATCTATTGTACACAGGATGTGTTGCTGTTAGTAAATCCAGTTGGCCATGTAGGCCTAATCAGAACTGCAGTACAACTAAATATATATTTAATTGGCTGTTTCGAGGTAGCAAACACGAATATTGCTATTTTTACAATGATTTACTACAAAATCTGGTGAATGTCAGATGATAATAGTTTGGCTCCAACAAGAAATGCATATCCATTATCACATACCTGTCTGAGGAGCTGTGAGACCACCTTTATTTGCTGTCCACGGGATAACAGGTAATTGAGAGGCACACCTGTCACACGAGCCATTTCCATGTAATTTATAACACACATGAGCTTCTCCATAAGACGAAGAGGTAAGTAGGCATCCTTCAGGCAGTACACAGCTAGCCTTCTCCTTGTTTGTTCATTACCATTCTACAAAAATCACAAATCATAAATATATACATATGAAGAAATAGAGCAGAAAATTATTAGTAAAACAGCGGCTGCATTCAATCAGTCTAACAGGGCGTGGAGGAACCTGTTAGAATACAACAGCTTGGCATGGGGGAATCCCTCCATCCACCTTGTTTGTGTGGATGGAGGAATCTGTTGGTATTTTTTCTTTCACAAAATTTTTATTGAGTTTTTAACACAGAAAGTGACAAGTAAAAACATGCAAGTCTCTAACATTCATAGATACAGAACCCGTAGGGACAAGGTAGCTGTATTATTTCTAAATAACAAGGTATGGTCAAGCCTTAAACTTCTCATGGCTCTCAGCTCTCCTGAGAATGTTAGTACATTAAGAACTGCAAAACAATCAGTGAAGGGAAAGTAATATAGAACCTTGAAAATTCAAGTATCAATTAAAAAAAAAATGGAATTATTCACCACAAATGGCAGCCCACATAGACTTTTACTGCATTAACTAATGTCTCATTTAATAGCGGAAACAAAGAGCACACCGGGTACAGACCACTAAAACAGTGAACAATACCGCTGTGCTCCTCACAGAGCCGCATCTCGCTTATCTCACGAAATTCTTTCCAGTTACATTTCCTGGATCTCGGCTTGAAACTGGAGGAACCACAAAAGCATCAGTATGCCTTTGTGCCCGCATTTCAGACCTATCTACACATCTAGCATTACAGATTTCTAGTACAAGTACAGCCACATTATGTACTTGCATACAACAGTTTCAAGCGTATTAGCACCCAATGGTCTACCACACGGAACATGGCATCCACAACATGTGGCCTGCATTGAACTTTTAATAAAAAAAAATATTAAAAACTTCTGGGTAGGGGGAATAGAGGTATGCAAAAAAGCAAATCTGTGGAAACTTTATGGTACCTTTTCCAAAAAGGAAATACAGTTGAAAATATTTTTGGTTCTTATTGTCCTCCTTACTTCATCTTAAATAAAATATTTTAATCTCCTTGGCGGTCTGATTATGTCAATATTTTGAATGTCAAAGCAGTACATTGTTTTGCATGGAAATTTCTGATGATGAATTTCCCCACAATTCACTATCGCTCAATTCTGCAAGTGATTCTAATTCACTATCGCTGTTTTCTAGCTGGTCTGAAACCACTTTTGACCTAAAGGGACGCTTTTTGGATACCATGGACGTTCTCAAGTTTCCAGGCAGAAAGAACGGTAAAAGTGCAGGCAGGGCACTGGACAAAGCACTAGGTGAAATGGTTTGATACAGTAATGTAATCCTAACAGATTACAATGTATTGTGTGTATGTCATGTTTTTACTTTTTTGAATCTCCCACCGGTTCCGCCCTCCCAGCATCACAGGGCTCACAGGGAAGGGAACTCGGAAGACGGATGCCAGCATCGGCCAGAGGACACAGTGGGAGGACATCGGGGGATTGTAGGATCAAGGTAAGTTACACACACACATATAGTGTAATCCCGAGTGTGGCTCGGGGTTACTGTTTTTGGTACTGAAAATTAACCCCGAGCCACACTCGGGATTACTGCTAGGCAGGTTAAGCAACAGACAGCATGGATTCATGAAAGACAGAAATTGTCAAACAAATCTGACTTTTGCCAGTGCTTTTCTGATCCCCAAGCACTGACTAGGAAGCACTGACTAGGCTAGATACTGAGTCATGGGGATCAGAAAAGCACTGTCAAAAGTCCTGCGTAACAAGATTGGAATCAAATACTAATGGGTCACATGATGCTAGTCTCCGCCTTCGGGTGGATTTCATACGGCCCACTGTCATAATTTATTAGCCTATATAAGAGAAGTGCAGACTCTTGAAGTGCTCTGAGGAAGAGGTTGTGTTCTCAAAATGCGTTAGCCAGTTGGTCATCCAGGGTTCCATCGTATGGACTCAGATGCTGTTTAGATCAAACATCTTGTTCGGTGTGATATGCTTGTGTTTTTATGTCCATTGTGAGTATGATACTTACTTTGTTCTTTAAATAAATATTTTAAATGATAATGCACTAGATCGGTGCACCCTCTTTATTGTTTTTCCATTTGTCAGTGGTGTACCCCAAGGTTCAGTGTTGGGATCCTTACTTTTTAATATATTTACAAACAATATAGGGTCTGGGAATATAAATACCATTTCAGTCTTTGCAGATGACACCAAGCCGTGCAAAGGAATAAAGTCCTTACAGGATGTCTCCAACTTACAAGCCGACCTCAATGCACTGTTTAATTGGGCAACTATGTGGCAAATGAGGTTTAATGTTGATAAAATGTAAGGTTATACACTTGGGGGCTAAGAATATGCATGCATCATACATATGGGGGGGGGGTACAACTGGGGGAATCAATGGTGGAGAAGGATCTGGGAGATCACAAGCTTAATAATGGCATGTAATGCCAAGCGGCGGTTTCTAAAGCGAGCAAGATCTTCTCTTGTATTAAAAGAGGAATAGACTCCAGAGAGAGATATCATATTACCCCTGTACAAATCATTAGTAAGACCTCATCTGGAATATGCAGTTCAGGTTTGGGTACCAATTCACAAAAAGAACATTGGGGAACTAGAGAAAGTATAGAGAAGAGAAAACAAACTGATAAAGAGTCATGGAGGAGCTCAGTACCGAGGAAAGATAAGAGGAACTGAATTTATTCTCTCTTGAGAAGAGGAGATTAAGGGGGGATATGATCAACATGTATAAATACATCAGTGGTTCATATAGTGAACTCGTTGTAGAGTTATTCACACTGAAGTCATCACAGAGGACAAGGGGGCACTCTTTACGTCTGGAGGAAAAGAAATGTAATCTCCAAACACGGAAAGGTTTCTTCACAGTAAGAGCTGTGGAAATGTGGAATAGACTCCCTCAAGAGTTGGTTCTCGCCAGCTCAGTGGATTGTTTTAAGAAAGGCCTGGATTCTTTCTTGGATATACAGAATATAACCAGTTACTATTTATAGGTAAAGTTGATTCAGGGAATATCCAATTGCCTCTTGGGGCTTCAGGAGCAAATTGAATCATGCTTTGCTGGGTTTTTTGCCTTCCTCTGGATCAACTATGGGTGTATGATTATAACTTTTTTTTTTTTTTATGGTTGAACTGGATGAACTTTTGTCTTTTTTCAGCCAGACTTAATATGTAACTATATAAGTTGGAATTAAGTGCTCAATTTCAGTGTTTTCTGATTATATCATCTTATTTCCCAGGAAAGAACATCACAGGATGCAGCATCATTACATAAAGACCTCAACTGCTCGCTGCTGGATGCACTTTGTGCGTGATCAGCAGTAACCACTGCAGGTAATCACAAGCTGGGCCACCGCTGACTTGTCATTAAAGTGTAGAAGATGTGTGTAGGGCGCATCAATGGAGGATGCCATGGACAGAGGAATGTCAGCCAATGATGGATGAGGATCTGGACACAGGCACTCTGCAGCACTTCTAGGAGTTGAAGCAGACTCTGTGTGTGGAGGAGGATAAGACAGGAAGGCGCTTCTAAGTGTAGTATATCCAGATTGACTTTAATAAGAACAGTTAGAAACACTTACAAAGCAGCAGTAAAAACAAGCTCTGTATGATCCGCCAGGATGCGGGGGCTCTGTTCACCGTGCGAGAACCCGCTGTGCCGACCAGCAGCTGCAGGGGGAGCTGAGGATAGGATGACAAGATGGCCGCCACTAGTTCCGGGGTTGCTGGAGCGCACGCTATCCAGGGGAACGCAAACCGAAAGTGACATGGGCGTGAAACGGTGACGCATTTCGGAGCATGTGCAGAGCTCCTTCTTGAAGACCGATGCCAAAAGCCGGGAAGAGCTGAATAAATAGGAAGGCGGGGCAGCCTGAGGGGACTAGAGTAGACACCCCCCGAAGACCAAAAACAACTGTGGATGGAGTCAGAACGATGTGAAATACAAAAAGGGGGAAGACTATTAAAAATGGACATATAAAACGAAAAATTTTAATAAAAATAAGAAAACGGCACAAGACTATGCTAGGGAAAAAGATGTATTTGTGTTGAGGGAAATAAAAATATGAAAATGAAGGAAAAGGGGAAGGGGGAAGGAGGGGTCCACAAGCTGGTTGTCTCAGATCAGTGGTGAGGATTCCCCAGTGGGCTGAATGATAGTCACTAAATAACATGAGCATGATATATATAAATTACATGAGGCGTACTTAGCATTTGGATTAAGCTTAATAAATAGTAGTTGATATGTGAACTAAACTAGGTAAATTAATTGGTACATCCATGATAAATGAGTAAATTAATAAATAAATAAATTAACAGGTGAACAATTAATTCATTTAGTGCACTACTGTTGGGAATTATGGTGCACAACAAATAAGTACATGGAGGTAATGAGAAATGATGGTTCTATAAAATAGTATGAATGTTAAGATCCTCATTCAAACCTCCGGGAGATAGTACATCTAGTACATAAATCCAGTATGTTTCCCTGCGACATAAACGCTGAAATCTCTCAGCTCTATGAAGGTAAGTGGGCATGGCCTCAATGACCCAGACTTTAAGACCTTTGGTGGATTTGTCATGCTGTTAAAGGAAATGTTGGAGGACGCTATGTTTGTCAATGTTGTCTTCGATGAGGAGGCGATGCTCCCCAAAGCGTTTGCGCAGAGTACGAATGGTTCTACGTACATAATATAAGCTGTAGGGGCATGCCAAACAGTATACCACAAATTCTGAGGAACGTGTGGAATGCAGTAATCTTGTATGTTTTACCTTTAATGTTGAAATCTTTTTGACCATGTTGGATAAATGGGCATGTTAGAAAAAGTGGTTTGCTGCATCGATACATGCCAAAAACAGGGAATAGTCAGAGGGGGACAGTGTCTGACTTAATGGGTTTTAGTTTACTGGGCGCTAATTTGCTTTTGATGTTACGGGCCTTTCGGTAGGCAAACCTGAGTTTGATAGGTATACTGTTGAGCAGATGTGGGTCTTGTAATAGTATGGCCCAATGTTTTCGCACTATCCTTTCCATGTGTGTGTGACGACTATGGAATTGGGTAGTGAATCTGATAGTGGGGTTATGCTCTCCTGGATGACGACGAGTGGTGTTGGGAACTGTATTGTAAAGTGATTGGACTTCATCAATGAGAGTGGATGGATATTCTTTTTCAAGGAATTTGTCCTTAAAAGTGATACTTTGTGATTGATAGTCCTGGAGTTTGGTGCAGTTATGGCGAAGTCTACAAAACTGACTTTTTGGAATATTATTCAGCCACCTAGGGTGGTGACAGCTTTTGTAGTGTAAAAATTAGTTGCCAGCAGTTGGTTTGGAGTAGTTTTTGGCCAAGATGAGATGATCTTCGTGACACATGAATAAGTCCAGAAAAGCTAAGGTGTTTTTGTCTATCACGAAGGTGAATGTAAGGCCCAAGTTGTTGGTGTTACAATGGGAAACAAATTTTGGGCACAGTCTGCGTCACCATCCCAAATGATGATGATGTCATCGATTTACCTGCCATAGTAGACAATATAAGAAAGAATGTGGGTTATTGTTCCAGATGTATAATGACTCCCAGTATCCCATGGTCATGTTTGCATATGAAGGGGCAAAATTAATGTTATTTATTAAGCTTATTCCAAATGCTATGTAAGCCTCATGTATCAGTAATTTATATCTATCATGCTCATGTTATTTAGTGACTAACAAGCAACCCACTGGGGAATCCTCACCACTGTTCTGCGACAATCAGCTTGCGGACCCCTCCTTCCACCTTCCCCTTGTCCCTTCATGTCCCACACATACCCTGAATGTTTTTTCATTTTCATATTTCTATTTTCCTCAATACAAATACATCTTTTTCCCTAGAATAGTCCTGTGCCGTTACTTATTTTTTTATATACATTTTTCATTTTATATCTCCATTTTAATAGTTTTCCCCCTTTTGTATTTCACATCGTTCCGACTCTGTCCACAGTTGTTTTTGGTCTTTGGGGGGGGAGTCTACTCTGACCCCCTCAGGCCGCCCCTTCCCCGCCGCTCCTTCCTATTTATTCGGCTCTTCCTGGCTTTTGGTATCGGTCTTGAAAAAGGAGCTCTGCGCATGCTCCGAAACGCTTCACCGTTCCACACCCACGTCACTTCAGGTTTGTGCTCCCCTGGACAGCATGAGCTCCAGTGTGTGTTCCAGCGACCCCGGAACTAGTGGCAGCCATCTTTGTCATCCCATGCTTAGCTCCCCCTGCAGCTACTGGTTGGCACAGCAGATTCTCGCATGGTGGACAGAGCCACCGCTTCCTGATGGATCATACAGAGCCTGTTTTTACTGCTTGTATTTCACATCGTTGTGACTCCATCCACAGTCGTTTTTAGTCTTCGGGGGGTGTCTACTCTTGTCTCCTCAGGCCGCCCCGCCTTCCTATTTATTTGGCTCTTCCCGGCTTTTGGCATCAGTCTTCAAGAAGGAGCCCTGCACATGCTCCGAAACGCGTCACCGTTTCACGCCCATGTCACTTTCGGTTTGCGTTCCCCTGGATAGCGTGCGCTCCAGCAACCCCGGAACTAGCGGCAGCCATTTTGTCATCCTATCCTCAGCTCCCCCTGCAGCTGCTGGTCGGCAAAGCGGGTTCTCGCATGGTGAACGGAGCCCCCGCATCCTGACGGATTATACAGAGCTTATTTTTTACTGCTACTTTGGAAGTGTTTCTAACTGTTGTATTAAAGTCAATCTGGATATACGACACTTAGAAGCGCATTCCTGTCTTGTCATTAAAGTGTACAGGCTTGGTGGTAGTAGCTAGCCATCACAGGTTGCAAAAACAGCTGCAGGAGTCAGCGGATTTTTTGCCACTGCCATTAGCACCAGGCCTGATCACCCATGCAAATATAGCCTAACAGCATTTCTTTAAAAAAAACACACCTTTTAAACTTATCTATGTACATTTTTAGAAGCATTCTGACAAGAATAACTTATGTGAAAAAATGTTTTTTAAAACACAATAATGAATTCTCACAGACAATACATTATAGTTTCCTATCAATTACAGTGTGCCTCTGTTAGCTTATACTGGAAAGGTCCCCAGAATGAGCTTTTACAGTTATCAAAGGATATTCTGGGTGAACCAAATAAGATTTTGCTATACCTGTAGATCAGTGATGATGGAGTGCTGTACATCTTCCTTCTGTTCTTGCAGAAAGTGGAAACTGACAGCATTCAGAGTGTATGAACGCAACTTGTAGTCTCTAAGAAGTACCTATATTTAAAAGTGTAAAAAAAAAAAAAAATATATGTATTCATTTGCCGGTTCTACATTTACAAAAAACGAATCCTTAAAAAAAAATATATAATAAGTCATGCCCCAGAGGCTTAAAAAAAAACCTCTTCACGTGTCACCCCATGAGCAATAATCTAAAACACAACAGTTTGGGAGTTAAAGTAATCACAGAAGAATGTCACCAGTGCACCAAGGATCCCCAATGTGGGTCCAAGAGCTTTAATGAATAACCACATAGTTAAAGCAAAGCAACGTTTCGGAGTCTCGCGGGACCCCTTCGTCAGGCATGTGATGCATCACATACATGATGAAGGTGTCCTGTGAGACTCCGAAACGTTGTTTTGCTGTAACTATGTGATCATTCATTACAGTTTGTGGACTTACATTGGAGATCCTTGGTGTGCTGGTAACATTCTTCTCTGATGACTCGGTTCCAGCCGATGGTCACTGCAGCACCTGATGATACACACAACCATCTTTTGAACGCAGGAACGTGTGTTGGGATTGCATATTTGCATTCTGGGTGTTAAAGTAAGACATAGCCCCCTGCCAGGCATCTCGTCCCTGATCCAATCAGGAGCTGGAGTGGGCAACGAGCACTTGTCAGACACTGTCTTATTAAAAATTGCAACCTACACATCTCTGTTTAATTCCCAAGTCTCACATTGTCTTCCCCAACTGCTCTTCCACATCTATTCATTAAATATGAAAAAAGTAAGAATATGCTGTTGTCCATATTTTTGCCAGTGAACAAGGAGAAGACAGTAGCAAAGAAAAGCAATGCAGAATAACAAGCAGTAGTAAACTACTTAAATTAGAAGAAGTTAAACAAAAAAAAATTAAAATAAATAAATGCACATTTATTTGAACGGAAAAAATATTCCTTAATATTTTTTTCTTAGATCCTGTAAAGCATTGCACCCACGATCAGCAGATCATGGGTGCAATGTCAGGCTCCTCAAGTAAATAAACATTTAAAGAGCTTCAAGTTCCATGTATAAATAATCTGGGAGTCCCTAATCAGAAATCCAAACATAATCAAACACAAGATAGATTAGTTATGGACTCAACAAAGACTAATGGGTTTGGTATTAGCTTTATTATAATCCATGGGTCAGTGGCCAGACCATATGAACAACTCCTGTAATCAAACAAAAATAGACATACAAAAAATCTTAAAAACATCTCCATGTACCCCAAATGGATCTCTAATACGCCCTCTTATGGGAGTTTTTGAGATAAAGTGGATGACTTGTACAAAGAATCTGTTAATAACCAGCTACTGCTCAACATGTCAAGTTTAGACTCCAGATGTTCTCAAACATCCAAAGAATTCGTCTTCATGGACAGATGCAGAATAACAAGCAGTAGTAAAATACTACTTAAACGAGAAGTTAAACTTTAAAAGAAAAAAACAAATAAATGCACATTTATTTGAAGTGAAAAAAATATGCATTTATTTATTTTTTTCTTAGGAGCCTGTAAAGCATTGCACGTATGATCAGCAGATCGTGGGTGCAATGTCAGGCTCCTGCAGACAGTCAGTACAGCTGTCTGTCCGTACCTCCCATATGGGCAGACAGTTGCTGAAGTCCAGGAAGATTCATTGAGAACTACAGGCTTTCTGCCACGGTAGCCAACAGTAGTTGTAGTTGATTCATTCACAGAACCCTGTGAATAAATGACACAGCTGTTCTGTATTTGAACTGTGATAGTGAGTGTTGGGGTGCAAGCAGGTGCTTTAGTAATATGGGTGTCACATGTTTCAGAAGGTGAACGTATCCTTTAAAACTAACCCATTCAGGTTTCAATCAAGTTTTTTTTTTTTTTTTTTTTTTTTTTTTTAAATGGTGCAGGATGTTGGGCTTGCCAGACTGATACTGGATTCACTATTGTCAACACGATCCCAGATTTAGTACCTTGTTTAGCAGACCTTGTGGACTTCACTGGCTGTCTGCTTGTTTCAGATCGCTCACTGGGCAGTAGAGCAAGAATAGAAACATCAACCTCATAGTCTACACCTTTAAATAAGTTAGCAATGTAAATCTCACATATTTCTGTCCTCAGATTCACTTTATTGTTGCCTAATGCTAGCACTGGAGATGGGAGGTGGAAGGTGGGAGGTGGTGGGTGGAGGGGGGGGTTCTGGTAGGATTTGTGCACTTTAAACCTACATCACACCACTTATTCTACAGCATGAACACTTATTTCAGTTTCTACATTTAATTAGTAGAACCACTTATTTATAAACCTTTGTGGACAGACTATAAAGTGCTAACATTTGTAGACTATGACCCTACTATGTTATACCATTGACTATTGACCCTACTATGTTATACCATTGACTACTGACCCTACTATGTTATACCATTGACTACTGACCCTACTATGTTATACCATTAGACTGATGCACACTGAAAGGCTGATTGAACTGGATTGAAGGCATGGACATGTTTTGAAGGAAACATGCCTGGATAGAGCCTTGAAAATCAGAAGTGTGTGATTTCAGGTCATTTTTACCTACTGCAGTAGCATCACTTAAACATCAATTGTAACCAAAAAGTATTATTTTGACTAGAGCAGGAACAGATTAGAGTCTCTATGTACCTACGGAACATCTCAGCATGGGAACAAAGACAAAAATCAGTGCCAATGAATGTTTATTGTTTTTCATACTTAACCTACTTTTTTGTGTCAGAGGAAAAGGAAGTACAGGAAAATCTCACAAGGAATACAAACCCCAAAGAAATTTCAACTCTTCACTACTCATTCCAATCAAATAAACAGAAATGTTGCTTAAACTAGCTTTTAAAGTGTATTGTTGTGCAACCCAATGTACAATATTGTGGCTTGCCAGTCTTTGATGAGGCTTTTTTCTGTTGATTTTAACCTGGTGATGCGCCCAGAAACACACTTTCTGCCCTACAGTGACATTGATTACTGACTGTGCTTTATCTTTGGAGAAGCTGTATAATCACCCTAGGCTGTTTGTGCCTGATTTCGAATACAGAACACCTCCCTATCATCTCATATTCATAACAAAGTGGAAGGTGTTTTCTAGTTCACAGAGTTAAACTGTGCTCAGGATTTCAGAACTGCAAAGGCAGAGTACACAGATGTTACAGTCTCACCAGATTTCCAGCAAGATTGACAGACTTCTTTTTGTTTTGTTTTTTTAACAGTAGTGTAATTAACCACTTGCCCTCCAGAGGATTCTCCCCCCTTCCTGACCAGGCCATCTTTTGTGTTACAACGCTGCGTTAATTTAACTGACAATTGCAAGGTCATGCAACCCTGCACCCAAATTAAATTTACGTACTTTTTTTCACAATTAGAGCTTTCTTTTGGTGGTATTTGATCGCCTCTGCGCTTTTTATTTTTTGCACTATATACAAAAAGAGGCTGATAATTTTGAGAAAAAAAAACAATATTTTTGATGTTTTGCTATTAAACATGTCCAATAAAAGAATTTACAAAATCAATATTTTGTCATAAATTCAAGCCAAAATGTATTCTGCTACATGTCTGCTACAAAAAAATCCAAATACGTGTAAATTAATTGGTTTACATGAAAGTTATAGAATTTACAAATGGCGGTATATATACTGGAATTTCTTCTTTTTTTTAAACTAGTAATGGCGGCATTCAGCGACTTATAGCGGGATTGCAGCAAGCATTTGGACACTGGGGGGAACTGACTTGGTGTCACTGACATCCCCAGTGACACCAATACAGTGATCAGTGCTAACAAAAAGCACTGACATTGTATTAATGGCACTCGCCGTGTGCTGTGTGTTTTACTATGAGGCTACCTGTGTGCTTTCCACTGTAAGTACACTGCATTGTATGACTCTGCTATGCAGAGCCATACAAAACAGTGTGCAGGAGCTGACAAGGGGAGAGAACTGTATTGTTTACATACAGTTCTCCCCCCATCGGTAATACTTGGCGATCACTGGGTGCCGGTGAGTAATCACCGGCTGGGACCCGGTGATTGACAGCCAAGGCCACGAATGGGTGGAGCGGGTAGGATGGTTCTAGGTAGGAGAGTCGCGCGCGCCCCCTACCCAGAACTGCAAAATCATATATTTACGTCATTTTGTGCACCCCTGCTGCCCTGTAGCAGTATTTCTGCTATAGGGTGGAAGGGAAGCGGTTAACAGACCAAAAGGGAGTAAAAAAAATGTACACTAAAGTAGAACTATAGGCAAAACATTTTTTTCATTTTAGATAAAGTAAGGGAGGATTATAACTCGTCAGATTTTTTTTCTTTTTTTTACAGTCTGTGTCCAATTTTGGAGATTTCCCTTCACTTCCTGTCCCATAAGGAAACAGGAAGTGGGAGGAAATACCTGCAAATTAAGGAAATTCCTTGGGGACTCCCAGGTCACCAGAACTACTGTCCCCATTGGAAGATTTCTTCTCTATTACTTTTACGGGGACAAACCGAAATTTGGGATTTTCTTTTACTTTCGATGATAATGGTAAACAGAACAAATTGAGAGAGGGGTGGATCTCCTTAACAGGGGCACAAATAGCGATAAAAAAATGGCAGGTGTTCTAATTCCCCTCCACTCTATCCAAAACTAAAAAAAAAGTTTTACTTTTAGTTATACTTTAAGATTTACATATACATTGAGGTTAAAATTCAGCTTCTAAAAATTCAGCTTCTAATTCAGGAATTTTGTGGAGAAGAGAAGGGGCCACATTTGGGCCAAACTAATATGTATGTTATAGCCAGCTAGAAACTATAGGAAAAAAAAACCCTGCTACAATACTAAAGCACTACTTTTATAAAGAAAGTGAAGATACCAGTAAACTATTTTGCATATTTATATTTGAATTTGGCCTGGAGCTACGCTTTTTATTAGGTCTTTTATTATAAGTAACGGTATTAAGATAATGTGTCAATTGACAGTATTGTTTGCAAGTCCCTATCAGTTTTCGGTAAAACCTTTTGGTCAATAACCTACATTGGGTAACAAAAATATTGCGGTTCAGCAAATGTTCTCCCTAGCCTGCAGTTTTCAGCAAATGCTCAGATTCTATGTTGGGGAATCTTCAGCAGGCCACGACAATACACAATACATGCACTACCATACAGCGGTGCTCCAACAGCCATCCCATGAGAGCCTGTATGCTAATTAAAAACTGTGCTCCTCGCATTTCATGGCCTTTCTGGGCACATGCTCTGCATAAATACAGTGTGTGTTGGAGGATAGTGGTTAGTATCAGAATTTCTAGGAGAGAAATTATATTTTATCTTCTCTTCAACTAAACTATAATTGTTCTAAACGTAAAGTGTTACTAAACCCAGGACCCTGCATTCACTATATCTGGTCTCCCACAGTACACACAACATGGAAATGCAATTATTTTAGTAAACAGAAACTGCTCTCATCAGGAGTTAGAGCAGTCTTGTGACTTCAGCAGAGCACTGGTTAAAGCTTGTCGGCCTTTTGGCCAAGATCAAGTGTAGTATCTGTTCTTATCAGTGTCCAGTGGGGGTGCTCCTGGTCATTCTAGCTTTGCGGGGATGGCTGTTGTATAGTACCCTCACTGGTATGATGGGGGTCCGGAAGGCTGGACCGGAGGGACAGAAACCAGGGAGCGCCATGATTTTCGTTCTTGGGAGTAATTCCTCTGGGAAAGCTGGAAAGACCCAGTTCCTCCTGATTTGGACGGATCTACCTTGGTCTGGCCAGGGGCTGAGGACGCAGAAAGTCCGCAAACACGGTGCCCCCTGAGTAGTCGCCTCAGGGGTGCTCTGAGTAGCACTTGGGTGTGGGACCCCACGATGCGAATGAGCACATGGTCACCGAGTTTAACACTTTTTGCACTGCGCCTCTAGGACCGGGCCTTTTGGTCAAGTTCTGGGCAATTTTTTTGCTACAGGCCTCAGGGTCTGGTCAGTGCACAATTTGGGCACGACACTTTTTTATTATTTTTATAGATTTATTATTTATTTATTTTCCTCACCCCACGTTTGTCACCTTTTACTTATGTGTGTGTTTTTTTTTTCACAGGATGGAGGGTGTGGGTCCTCGGGCCTGCCCTGAAGTCTAGGGGGAGGATGTGTGGCCCTACGGTTCCTTCCTCCCCTGTCCCTAGGGGGTTTTTTCTCTTCGGGAGAACCCCCTGGCCTAGTACTGGATGTCCGACTTCGGCTGGGCATAAGGAACGGTGGTCCACCAGGCCTTTTGGCCAGGAGGACCAAATGGGAACCTTGTCCCTGTCAGGAGCTTCGTGCCCCGGGGGATCAGGGTAGTGGTCCAACCCCTTCGGGGGTAGGACAAAGCACACCCCTAAGTGCACTTTTTGTGTGGTGTTTTGCACTTGCACTTTTTTGTGAACACTTACGGGTTTTTTCGTTATAGTTGCACGTTTGCGGACAAAAAAAAAAAAACTGGTTAAAGCTTGTAGGAGTTTTCTTTCTACTCTAGGAGGATGCAAAACCTCTGACCCTCTGTCTGGACAGTGCTAATCACATGCACTCTCCCAAGAAAAAAAAAACCTCTCTAACAATACACACCAGGGATGTTCAATTTATATTGCCCGACGCCGGGACATGCAGTTCCGAGCGCCAGACAGGTAGTTTTTTGTTATCTTTAGCCCTACTGCGGACAAGCAGTAGGGCTCACCTGTCAGGTGGAAGCATTCGGGCGGAAGCGCTGCCGCCTGATTTCTTCCACACAGCCCAAAGTGCCAGCCGCCCCGTCCGCTATATGTCCAGGCTCCGCTTGCCCATCTGCGGGCCCAGGACTGGTTCAGTGGGTGCCTGTGGGATGCCAGTATGAAGGAGGGAGGAGAGCAGACACAGCCGCTCCCCTACCCTTCTTGTCCTGACCCAGAAGTGATGTGATGTTACTTCCAGGTCCCCGTTGACAGATTCCCAGCCATCGAGGCAGGGAAAGAATGTAATGTAACGTAGTGCGATGTGCACTGCATTACATTCAATGGAGAGCAAAGGGAGACATGCAGAGTCTTTTAGACCCTGCATGTCGAAAAAAAAAGAGAACCTGTCACCAAAAAATCATCACATAGGGAATTTTTTGTCCCCATGTGGTACAAAAAAAAAAAAAAATTTAAAAAAATGTTTTTTTTATTTTTTAAAAATGAAAGTTACACCCCCCCCCTCACAAATTTTTCACACCCCCCCACCCCCACATATACAAATGAAAAAGCAGGTGCTGGGGCACCTACACATGAAAACATTCATTGTGATACACATTACATATCGCTGCACACGCCAGAATGAGAGCAATATTTTTAGCACCAGACCTCCTCCGTAACACTAAACTGACAACTTATAAGGGGCTTTAAAAACGTCACCTATAGAAAATATAGGCTACTAAAGTTTGTTGCCATTTCACGAGCGCATGCAGATTTAAGGTTTGACATGTTCAATATCTATTTACTAAATGCAACCTTGTATTTTATATTTTACAAAAAAAAAATGGATAATGTATTGCTTTTGGTGTCCTAAAATTAACTTAAGTGTATTTTTAATGACATTTTGCATTTCCTAGACCTTCGTGATAATATTGTGTGACATAAAAAATTGGAACTACCACTATTTTATTCTCTAGGGTCTTTGATTGCAGAAAATATATAATGTTTGGCCATTTGACCATCCATCTTACTACATATTTGGCACACAACTCTAGCCTGTCCAGACACCATTTTGTGAGAGCTCAGCTCCAACCATTAATTGGCAACCATCTATTGATTTACCTGAGAATTGGAGGGTAGCTATAAACTATATCCTGATAATTCTGATTGTCCAAATTATTAAGCTCAATGTCATTTTGGGGTAACTAAATTTTCTCCTTACAATAAAATAACCACCCACCTTTATATAGTTTAGTTTTAGTTGTAATATTATTCCATTTTTGTTCTTGGGCCATATTGGCATCTGGTTTTGTGTATTTTGACGCTTATTCCTTCTGCAGGGGAACAACCGCTGAAATTCCGTAAATCCCAGACTATTGTCTGATAGTTAGATATTATGGTTATTTTGTCTATGGGGAGAAATGAATTATTGATTTTATTTATCCTATATATCTATATGTAAACTAGTGCTACGGAAAACATTTGGAAAATTTTATGCAAATTATCTTGGGGTCTATGTGCCTCACAATCGAGCTATTACATTATGTGTTTATACATTTAAACACATAATGTAATAGCTTGATTGGCATGACTGATTGTAAAATAAATAATTTATGTCATAACGAACTGTAAATAAATAATTTATGTCATAATCTGTAGTCCATAATTTCCCCTGATCTAATTTGTTTGTTAAAAATGATTTTGGTTGGCTCTAAATTACTCAGAATTATAAATTAAGCCAATTAAATTATTTTATAAATGATATATTATATTTGGAAGCACCTTTAGCTGACTCAATTGTCCAGGCGTAACCTGGCAGAACATAAAATGTTTGGAGGTACTGCTGAATATTAATAATTCATCAAAAGCACAACATTAGGTAGGTAGATTCGATGCTGTGGTAGGGCCAGTTAAAATGAAGTTTTTACCTATGAAATTTTGCAAATGCAGGGTATTTACTATAGTACAAGGAATGTTGGAGGACTTTAAGGCCTCGCTCACACAGATGATGATGCCCATATAGCATGAAAGGCCCATTTTGTGCAGTGCCTCAAATTACAGGTACTACGGGTAGGCAGCCCACTGAAGTCTATTAGGATGAAACTGTGTCCGTGCAGCTTTCCTAATAGACTTCAATGGGCTGCTTGCACACAACACCTGGAAGTAGAGACGCTGCAAAAAAAAAAAAAGACTCATGTAGGCTATAAGGGCATCATTGCCTGTGTAATTGAGACCTGACTCCACAGACAGCAAGGCTTCTGAAAAGAAGAAAAATATTAAAATATAACGTGCAGATGTAACCATTATGGGCTTGCAAGGTAGCAACCCCCTTCAATCTTTTTTCCCAAATGAACAACCTAAGGACTCTTACATCCCACCTAGCTGAAATATTTTTTAAAAAGAACACCAAGTCTTTTACCTTTTTTACAGTTTACTTCATAATGATTTATTTAAACATTAAAGGATAAGTTCACCTTTGGAACATGTTACTTGTTCCACCTGTTTTTAAGGTGGAACATTTAACATGTTCCAGAATTTGCAGCTTTTCCCCTCCGATTTCCCCCCCCCACTCCCGATTCCCCCATCCCTGTGACAGCATGTCAGGGATCCTCTCCCTACACCAACTGTCACTACTGGAAAATAACAAGGCCGTGTGGGGCTCTGCCCACAGGGCTACATCATTCATTTACAGTTTCCTGTGAATGAATGCCTACAAGTACTGTCAGCCACTGTGGCTGACACCTTGTAGTTCTCAATGAACTACGAGGGTGCAGGTGAGAGCTCTTGTAGTCCATTAACCTTCCTGCCCATATGCGGTATGGGCAGAAAGGTATGCTGAGAGTCTATAGGAGCCTTAGATTGCACACGCAATTTGCTGATTGAGGAAGCAATACTCTTAGGCTCCTTAGAAAAAAAATTATAAATGCGCATTTTTTTACCTGCAAAAAAATTTGCATTCATTTTTTTTTGCCAAAAGATGAACTTATCCATTAACAAAAAAAGTGATTAGCCACAGTACAGTGCCCATTTAGTTGTACCTGCAGGAGATCGAACTGAACACGACCCTCTATGTTAATGACTTTGTTTTCTCGTCTACCCATCTGCTTGGACTGGAAGGAAGAGTCCCGTATAACAGACTTCATGCTTCGAATTCTCCCTAGAAAAGGAAATGTGTAAACCTGCAACAGACAAAACACCAAAATTAAAACTCAAACATTAGAATAACAATTAAAGGAGAAGCAGTACAGTGCTGAGCTCCTGTGTCACTCAGTATTTTCTTCCTCGCAGCATGCTTGTCAACACATTAACTGATTGGTTGCTTCTTCCTCTCATACAATCATGGCCAAAAAATATGGGCACCCCTGCATTTCTGTCAGATAATGCACCACTTCGCTCATAAAATTGTTGCAATTACAACCGTTTAGGCATTCTCATATTTATTTCTTTTGTTTGTATTGTACAGACTGGACAAAATTATTGGCACCTTCTCAAAATTGTAAGAAATAATTGCATTCCATGTTTGTGATACTCCTGTAATTTGTAATTAAACTCACCAGTATCAATTAACCGATCTTAATGTTCCTGTGTCCATTGTGCACAACATTGTCAATATGTTTACAGCCCATGGCACTGTAGCTAATCTCCCTGGGCATGGACGAAAGAGAAAAACGTGGTAAAAGATTGCAACGAAAGATTGTTTGAATGGTGGATAAAGAACCTTGATCAACTTCCAAAAAATTCAAGCTGACCTTCAGGCACAGGGTACATCTATGTCAGCTCATACTATATGTCACCATCTGACTGAAAAGAGATTCTATGGTAGGAGACCCAGGAGGAACCCACTGCTGACACAAAAACATAAAAAGCCAGATTGGAGTTTGCCAAAACTTACCTGAGGAAGTCAAAATCCTTTTGAGAGAATGTACTGTGGACAGGCTAAACAAAATTACAGTTTTTTGTTAAAGCCCATCATTCTACTGTTTTCAGAAAAATAAATTAGGCCTTTAAAGAAAAGAATACAGTCCCTACAGTCAAACATGGTGGAGGGTCGGTCACTGATGTTTTGGGGTGCTTTGCTGCTTCAGGCACTGGATGTCTTGATTGTGTGCATGGTATTATGAAATCTGAAGACTACCAAAGAATTCTGGGGTACAATGTAGGGCCCAGTGTCAGAAAGTTGGGTCTCCATCAGAGGTCATGGGTCTTACAACAGGACAATGACCCAAAGCACACACCAAAAAAGCACTCAGAAATGGTTTAGGACAAATCGCTGGAGAGTACTTAACTAGACAGCAATGAGCCCAGATCTCAATCCCATGTACCTGTGGAGAGATCGCAAAACAGCAGTTGGGAAAAGGAACCCTTCCAATCTGAGAGACCTGGAGCAGTTGGTGAAGAAGAGTGGTCCAAAATTCCAGTAGAAAGGTGGAAGAAACTCATTGATGGTTACAGGAAGCAATTTATTTCAGTTATTTTTTGTAAGGGGTGTGCTACCAAATATTGAGGGTTTCAATAATTTTGTCCAGCCCATTTCTCTGTGGAATGTGTCAGACCTGGCTTTTTGCTTCTCCACTTCTTTTTTTTTTTTTATACCAATACAAACAAAAGAAACAGACATGAAAATGCCTAAACATTTGTAATTACAACAATTTTCAGGGTGTAGTGGTGCATTATCTGACAGAAATGCAGGCGTGCCAATATTTTTGGCCATGACTGTATTTCAGCCCTGCTGTACGGAGACTGCAGTAGGCTCATATCAGGGGAAATTCAGGTATTTGCACTGCTTTCATTTAATAAATACATTTAAAGTAGAATTCCTGCCTAACAATAACTAGTCTTAAAAATGTCCCCTCAGTTTTAGCACCACCAACTGCTTCCTGTTAAGCTGCAAAGGCAGCAGCCAGGGGTGTACACATGCTGTAACCACAAAGCTTTACATCATAGTCAAAATAAAATCTGTTGTTTTTGGCAGGTACTACCGCCCAACAAGCGTGACCCTTTCAAATGAATGGGGCTGTACTGCAATGCACACAACTGTGGCATGGTCACTGTGGCATTTAGGGGTATTAAAACAAGAAGTGAGGAGGCACCACTTGTACAAGACCTCTAAGGCTAGGTTCACATCTGTGCGGGTGGTGCAGCTGCGGATCTGCACGAAAATCCGTGCAGCCGCACCACCCGCACAGAGAAATGCGGACCCGCGGGCCGGTGCTATTAGTTCTAATGGCACGCCGCCCGCGCTGGAAAACACAACCATACCGGTGAACCGAGGTTCCCGCGTGGGCTGCATGTTCTGAAGTAGTGCAGGCACTTCTTCTCTGCGTGTCACAGGGCACGGGAGTCCATTAAAATGAATGGGCTCTCATGCCCACGCAAAACACGGCCCGCACGGCTGCATATATGTGAGCCGGGGCTAAAAAGCCTCACAAGTGCAGATTGCTTTTCAGAGGAGCAGCAGTCCTTGCTGAATGTGTTCAAGCCCTTACGATTTGCTCCAATACACTACATATTAAAAACTGGGCCAAGTTTACCTTAAGATTCTGTGCTCTGTTGATCAGATATGGCAAGTCAAAATTCTGAATATTGTAGCCAGTTATGATATCAGGATCAATAATGCGCACAAACTCTGCCCAGGCCTGTACAAAGAAAAAAAAAGTCCATTATACACTGTTACAGGGAGGTTAAGAAGGTTGCCATTATTAAAGCGTCTTGTATGTTTAAAAAGAAAGAGAACAAAAATAATTCTCTACATCTCTGCAATACATGCACATTACTTCATGTTTTATCTTTCTGAAAAGTGCAAGTACAGAAATTTACTTGTTGATCTGCCAGAGACCCTTTGCTGTTCATAGGCAGTGTTGTCCTGGCCAGTTCTCCTCTATTTGAAAACAGACCACCTCCCCCTCACCGCCTTACTATAATAAAAGGGGAGGTGTTCTGAAGTTCAGAGAGCTCAGGCAGGGCTGATAGAACCCCATGAGATTTCAGTGCAGCAGTTGTAGGTGCAAACAAGAAGGTAGCTGTTCGCTGGATTTCTGGCATGATTAACAGGTGTTTTGTCTGCACTTTAGTATTCAGGAGGTAAAACATGGGGAAACAAGCATCAACACATGACACAGTAGTGACGCAAAACTTATCGAGAGGGCCCAGTGAGTGTGGCAGGGTACACAGGAGATCGACACTACCTTAAGTGTTGATTTCTCACACAGCATTATGGGCAGTGGCAGAGACATGGAGGTACCCGTTTCTCAAGGCTGTCAGCTCAGTCCCACCAGTGCAGGTTATTATATCGAGAGGAGTTGTAGCTACATACATCTCATCCTATCCTAGCTCTACTACAGTTGCATTACACTTGTATGCTATACCTTCTGCTGGAAATCTTGTACCTAATGTCAGATGCGGGATTCCTGCCTGCTCTGATCGTTTTTCTGTAAGCGCAATTTAGAAATGATTAAAGTTATTAAAAAGGTGTTTATCTGCGCTGCTACTACTACTTTTAAAACGACTATATCACAGAGCATTTTGCTAACATTCCAATGAAGTGTGGTGTATTTAACCACTTGACCTCCAGAGGATTTACCCCCCTTAATGACCAGGCCTCTTTTTGCTACTCGGCGCTGCACTAATTCAACTGATAATTGCGCGGTCATGCAATGCTGCACCCAAACAAAATGTACGTCCTTTTTTTCACACAAATAGAGCTTTCTTTCGGTGGTATTTGATCACCTGTGCGCTTTTTATTTTTCACGCTATAAACAAAAAAAGGCCAAAAATTTTGAAGAAAAATGATATGTTTTACTTTCAGCTATAAAAAATATATAGTAAACTCAAAGTTAGTTATAAATTTAGGCCAAAATGTATTCTGCTGCATGTTTTTGGTAAACAAAATCCCAATAAGTGTATATTGATTGCTTTGTGTGAAAGTTATAGCGTCTACAAACTATGGTATAGATACTGGAATTTAAGCCATTTTTTTGCTATACAGCGCTGCGCTAGTTTAACGGACAATTGCGCGGTCATGCAAAATGGTACATAAATGAAATTTACATCCTTTTTTTTCCCCACAAATTGAGCTTTCTTTCGGTGGTATTTGATCGCCTGTGAGGTTTTTATTTTTTGCGCTATAAAAAAAAGGCTGACAATTTTGAGGAAAAAAAACAATATTTTGGACTTTTTGCTATAAAACATGTCCAGTAAAAAAAATGTAAAAATCAAATCTAGTCATAAATTTTTGCCAAAATGCATTCTGTGACATGTCTTTGCTAAAAAAAAAACCCAATACGTGTAAATTAATTGGTTTACGTGAAAGTTATAGCGTTTACAAATGGCGGGAAAGATACTGGGATTTTTCGTTTTTTTTTTTTTTATACTAATAATGGCGGCGATCAGTGACTTATGGCGGCGATCAGCGACTTATGCGTGGGACTGCGGACCTACGGCGGACATTCTGACATTGGGGGGTACTTACTTGGGGTCACTGACATCCCCAGTAACACCAATACAGTGATCAGGGCAAAAAAAAAAAAAACACACACTGTACTAATGGCACTGGGGAGGAAGGGGTTAAGTCAGGGAAAGGGTTAACTGTGTGAGGGGAGTGTTTTACTAGGGGGCGGGGGTGTGTACTACAGGGAACACGCTGAACGGGAGAAACTCTTCTGTCCCGATCAGCGTGTCCTGGAGCTGTCAGGGAGCTGACAGAAAGCACAGCTACTGCAGCTGTGCTCTCTGTGAGTGATTGCCGCCGATCGCCCGGAACATAGCCAGTAATGACTGGCTGTGACCCGGTGACTGACATCCACGGCTGTGATTGGCGGGACAGGTAGGGCGGCGGTGCGCCTCGTGCGCGCCCCCTACCTGTTTTAAAAAACACACATTTTAAAACGTGGTTTTGCCCAGCCGTGCCGCCCTGCCGCCGTATTTCTACAGTGGCTGGGCGGCATGTGGTTAAAGATTTTAGTATGAGAAATTGGTATTCATTCTTTTGTTGTTACAGTTTTGCGATGAATGTTATTGACCTTACATGATCCCTTTAAAGTAGGGATGCATAGATACTGATATCGGTGCCCATACCAAGTATTTTCATGAGTACTTGTGAAAATGGTTCCAATACCTGAAACCAATACTTTGCGGTGTGATTTGCGTCAATACAAAATGTATGGGCGTAAATTATATCGCAAAGAAAAGTTGGAATTTGAACAGCAATGTGATTCCTATCCAAATCGCATGCAGGTTCCCCACTGCTCCTGTCTATCATAGCCTGAGTTCACACAGGATCGTCTACTGTCACAAGATGAAAAGCTGGGGATTTGAAATCCCCACAGCTTTCTCTCCTCTCAGTGCAGGGATCACAGTACAGGCTAGATGGCTTTTGAATGGTCAGCACCGCCACAGTGCTGTATTGACACAAATCTCATTGTAAAGTATCAGTACTTGCCGATCAAAACAGGGTATCAGTTCATCCCTACTTTAAAGGCAACCTTAGACATTCGAGGAAATGTAAAGTATTTTTCTTTATTATGGTTTAGGGCTGAAAATAAACAATTTTCTAAATAGTTTTTTTGCTTTTGGTGAGGTAAATAAAATAATATTTTTTATATGCAGCCAACTAGTAAAGCCCTCACATTTCACAGGCCCTTACAATCTGTTCACAGAGCTCAATAGTTTAAGCTGATACACACTGACTGAGCACTGAAGCACCACAATCAAAACCCTTTCCCTTCCAACTGCCCAATACAGAAATTTAAACCAGAGACAGACGGTTTAAATGAAACTGTCTACACCATGCTATGTCCTTACAAAAAGCCTTCAGAGGTCTTAGAATCCTTTAGTCATGATACATACAGTATAGCAACAATAAACATCAATTTAAAAAAAACTATTGTAGTATCCTTTAGGCAAAAACCAATATGCATAGTGCAATAATCCACAACAACAGGTTGGAAATCATCTTTCACAAATTTAACATCAGTTAACTGAACATGAAATTGGTTGTGGTGTGATAGTACATCTGCCCATCATTGCTGTTTTACTATGGAGGCAACGTACTTTCAACAGTGCATCTTCGTTTTCAAAGCAAAGCACTTGAGAGCCAACTATACTAGCGCAGGTGTTCAGAGTGAAAACATTGCGGATGAAAGGGTCTTTCTCCCCTTGCCTTAGAACCATGTTAGCTATTTGAATAACTGGGTCTTTGTCCGGCTCAGGAAACACACCTAGGGAACAAAAAAAGAATAAATCAGGATTTAAATAATCACTTTAATTAGGCCGAGGGAAGAACTTGCTGAACAGCGCATTACCTTTCCTCCCTGCACATTCTATATCAAAGCTGAGCACACGAAGAGGAGCAATCTTCTGCCACTCACCCTCAGCCGGGTGACTTATAAGATCTGCCCAGCTAATATCAACCTCCAGCTGAGCAAGAGACACCTGCAGGAAAAACAAAATGGAGATTACAGAGCCAATGAATTCAAAAGAATCATAATAGAGTATAGCCATCTAATGCTCACCTTAATGGTATTATCTTTAGTCAGCTCTCCCTGGCTTTCTTTTCGAATTCGGTATTTGCCAGCGGGGAGTTCGATCCAGTTACACCCAACAATGTCATTGTCCACCATAAACCTAGAAAAGAGATTGCCTTCCTATGAAGCCTTTCAATTTGAATTTGCCATGCCATGAACCACTTTATTCAACAACATAATATTCTGAAGTGCAATCAAACAGAATTCATTCTGTCACAGAACAGTATATGTTAAATTTTGATTGGTCTGCAATAACGAATCTGCATTCTTTATTAGTGCAAAAAGTATTACAATAGCTAATATTATCTTAGCTAGATTCCTCGCAGTTTATTCAGAACTACAAGTCGTCAGCCATGGCGGCTGATAGTATTTGTAGTTAATTCATCTACAGGAAACTGTAAATGAATGACATGGCCGTTTGGGCAGAGCCCTGCATGGCTGCGTTGTTTTTAAATTGTGACAGTGGGCACGGGGAGAATATTCCTCGTCTGCTGTCGCACCGAGAGGGGGATCTATAACATGTAATATTTCACACCCTAAATACGGGTGAAACATGTAACATGTTCCAAAAAGATGAACTTATCCTTAGATTCATTTGAAATTAAGCCTCATTTTCACAAACCTAGGTGCGGAATTTCCTTTCAAATCAGATAGCAATGAATGAAAAAAAAAAAAAAAAATCCCTTTCACTGCCAGAGCTGGTTTTTGCATTTTTTTTGCACGTCTAAAAAAACATTTTAGGTGTGAAGATTACACAAAATCCCCAAACATTATATTTTTTCTGAAAGCAGACACCCTAGACAGTCAACTAGTGGGAGTTCCAATTTTTTTATGGCTCATGATATTACTGCAAAGGTCTAGTCTGGGAAATTTTATTTTAAAAAAAACACACTAAAGTGAATATTAGGGCAAACAAATGCAATAGATTACCCACATTTTTGGTAAAATTTAAAATCCGAGGTTTGTGCCAAGTAAATAGATACCCAACATGTCAAACCTTACATTTGCTTGCGCCCATGAAATGGCAACAAACTTTAGTATCCTATATTTTTTATAGGCGACATTTCAAAAGCCCCCTATAGGTCATCAGTTTAGTGTTGCGGAGGAGGTCTTGTGCTAGAATTCTTGCTCTCACATCGGTATGCGCGTTGATATGTAACATGTGCAAATGACATTTTCACATGTAGGCACTCCCAACGCATTTTGGTTCATATGAGCGTATATGTGTGGGTTGGTGCCTCAAAATTTTTTAAATTTTTTTAAGGGGGGATGTTACGTGCGTGGGTGTAACGTTATTTTTGTGCACTTTTTTGCATATTTTTAGCTTAACTTTTTCTTTTTTTCCATCCCATAGGGGATAGAAAGTCCATGTCCAAGTCCATATGATGACAGGTTCTCTTTATTGAGACCTAAAAGACCCTGCATGTCTCCTCTAGGCTCTATGCATTGCAATACATTCTTTCTCGGCTATGCTAGCTGGGGAAAGTGATAGGGTGACTCTTAAGTGACATTATACAGGTCGCTTTCCAGGTCACACATGTTCGCTCTCCTCCCTCCCAGGCTTGCAGATGGGCAAGCGGAGCCCGGAATACATGGCGGGGGGGGAGCTACCGGGGGTGTGTGGAAGCAATCGGGCGGTAGCGCAGCCACCTCAATCCTTTCATCTGATAGGCATGAGTCTGCCTGTCAGTTTTAGACACAATCCTGGTGGCTGACACCACTGCACTGCGTGTGAAACCCCACTATCAGGTCCATACGACATACGGACCTGGCATCGAAAGGGTTAATAATGGCTTTGGCAACATGATCAAAATGCCTCTCTCTAATCCTAACAGCCCAGGCAGTCATGTGAAATCAGTCTGCACTGCCATGACTTGTAATGACAAGGGCCACTGTCAATCAAGTATGTATCCAAATCACCCAAGATTGAGAAGTTAATAAATTACTGCAAAATTATGGCATGGCATCATTGTTGGGGAGTACCTGATTTCAAAGTCAATGTTGGCTTCATAGGCCTGGTAGCAATGTGTTGGGAAGTTCCCGAACCGCAAACCCTGTTCTAAGAGACGTTTGGCAGGTGCAATTAGGCGTGGAAGGGCCATTGTAATCTTCAGGAAGGATGCACTCCGCTTCCCATGGTATCCATACATATCTATAATGAAAGCAAACACACCATCCTTATTCCATTCTTTTAGAAGCTAACTTCTGCTTGTTGATTTTAAGTAATGTGGAACAAGTGTTCTAGACAGCATATAAAGATATCCTATTAACCTATTTTTTTATGAAATTGCTTACTTTGTTTTTGTGCTTCCTTGTATTGTCTTCCATGAGCTCCCCAATCTTTCCTTCTTACTTTCATTTGTTATGAGTGAGCAGTGCTCGTTAGTTGCGTCATCTGTAATGCTCTATGTACACTACAAATCTCATAGTCAACAGCACAACTACTCAGGAGCAAGCAAGAGAGGGTGGCTACAGTCCTACCTACAGCAGCACCAGGAAATTGGATCATAGCAGCACAAAAAAAAAAAAAAAAAAAGTAATCCAGAGATTTGAAGGAGGCTGAGAGCAATAGAAGGTACGTTTTCAGAGTTATGAATACATACTTGAACAGATTTGTTTTTTTAAACCAGAGTTTAGTTTCACTTTAACATTAAATTTATTTTATTTTTTATTTATTCATTTTAGGTACTTCTGTAGCGTTGTCAATTTTTTGCAGCACTTTACGTGTGTGTGTATGTATGTATATACATATATATATATATATATATATATATATATATATATATATATATATATATATATATATTGTACATTCACATCAGTTCCTAGCCCTGAAGGGGCGTACAATCTAAACTCACATTCATACATTTCCATACTAGGGCCAGTTTAGACAGGAGCCAATTAACCTACCAGTATGTCTTTGGAGCTTGGGAGGAAACCACAGTACTTGGAGGAAACCCACGCAGGCACAGGGAGAACATGCAAATTAAATAAGTACTTCACAAGGCCAGTGCGCCGTTTCTTGACATGTTCATACATCCCTGTTATACATCAGCTGAGATGCCAGCTGAGTTTTTATAGAATTAGTGGAATAAGCTTTAAAATCTCTTCTATAATCACCCTTAAAGTGTTACTAAACCCAGGACCCTGCATCCACTATACTTCATCTCCCACAGTACACAGAACATGGAAGTGCAATTATTGTAGTAAATATAAACTGCTAAATTTCTCATCAACAGTATATAGCGGTCTTGTGACTTCCATCATTGTCCAGTCAAGTACTGGGTAATCTTGTAGGAGGAGTCTCATTCTCCTGTCTTATGAGGCTGCATGACCCCTGACCCTCTGTCTGGACAGTGCTGATTGACCCTGTGCTGATCACATGCACTACTCCCCTCCCAAAAAACACACCAAACTGAGCATGTGCAGAATGCCTCCTAAGGCTCCTTACTATCAGCAGATAGATTGGGGACTGTGGAAGAAGGGGAGGATCAGAAAAGTCAGGATCAAACAGTCTTTTTACACAATGTGGAGGATTAACTCCTTAGGATCCACAGTGAGTATAACAAGCATGCTTTATGGCACATACAGACTGATTTTACGGTTATGTGTTTAGTAACACTTTAAGTACCTAAGTCCCCATTCACACCAATGCGATTTGTCATGCGAATTGACAGTTCAAAATAGCATGACAAGTCACACCCTATTTGTGTCTATGAAACCTTTCAAATTGGTGCGACCTCGACCTTGCGATGCGGCACTGATTTTGAAAAAAAGATTCTGTACTATTTTTGGAGATTTCATGTGCAACTTGCATAGACATCTGTGCCTGACATCGCACAGATGTCCGGTGAAATTGCACTGACTGGTGGCTTTGAAATTGCTCTACTTCAACTGAAGTAGCCTGATTTCAAAGCCACATTCAGTGTGAATCAGGGCTATAGGTGTTAAGGTTTTGAAAATTGGCCAAAAAAAAAAATTACCACCTGGGGTTTTTTTTTTTTTTTTAATTTCTATTTTAACCACTTCATGTCCGGACACTTTTACCCCCTTCCTGTCCAGGCCAATTTTCAGCTTTCAGCACGGTCACACTTTGAATGACAATTGCACGGTCATGCAACACTGTACCTATATAGATTTTTTAGCATTTTTTTGAGACAGATAAAACTTTATTTTGGTGGTATTTATTCACCACTGGGATTTTAATTTTTTTGCTATATAAATTAAAAAGTCCAAAAATGTTTTAAAAAAAAGTGTTTTTCTTATAAAATTTTGCAAATAAATAATCTTTCTTCATAGATCTTGGCCAAAATTTATTCAATTGTCTTTTTAGTAAAAATAAATTAGTTTATAACCAAAAATTATAATAAAAAAAAATTATATTTTTATTTTATTTTCTTATATTATTATTTATGTTTTTTTTTTAACATAGTCACCCTAGCAGCACAGTGTCACCATACTGACACTGTACTACTTGTGGGGGGTGATAAAGATTTGGTTTTTTTTACACCGATTGCTTTTATACCCATAAAGGCTGTAAAAGCAATAATTTCTATTTCTCTCTGGCTGCATTCCTGCAGCCATTGAGAAATACTGTGTGAGCTGTGATTGGTCACAGCTTGTCACATGGTACAAGGCTGTTGTGGATAGCCTTGTACCATGTGATCGCTGTATTCATTCACTGATTTCACTAGTAGTAAGCAATGATGTCAGAAGTGACATCTTGTTTACTACTGTTCATGTGATCACTGATTTGGCAATTAGTGATCACATGATCGGGACCTCACACAGAGGTCCTGTACAACGACTGGTGTTCCGGGGGACACAGCGAGCACCGGATTGCGGTGCCAAAAACTCCCAGGGAGCGCACACAGGCCAAAATGGCGGGCGCCGTTTATGAACAGCAACCCCGCCCCTGCACTGCTACCGTCCAGCAGTTTATATACATGGGCCGGCGGGAAGTGGTTAAAGAATTTCCACTAAGGACCATTTAGTAATAATAATAAAACATAGAAGCTCTATCTGCAATTCCACCTTGATTAAAACAAAGCAAAAAGGCCAGGTTCCAAGATGCAAAAGGAACTTGATCATTCTGCTCTGTGCAGACTATGCTGCCAATCAGTATAATATAGTTAAGAAGATGGGAACAGACTATTTTTCAGTGTCTCAGTAAGGCCCCGTTCACACTAGTGTGACTTGTTATGCAACTTTGGACACATAGTCACAGCCCATTGATTTCAATAGACCTCAGTTCCAATCTATGTGACTTGAAGTTGTAGCAGCTTTAAAAAGGTTCCTGCACTACTTTGATGTGACTTTCTTATGACTTGACTGCCAGAAAGTGTAAAGTCACACTAATGTGAAGTGATCCTTACTAGACCAATTATCAGTTGCTCTTTAAATCTCCATTTACTTTAATCTGTGCTCAAAAATAACCAGCAAAGACACAAAGATCATGATTGTTATTTGAATCTATATGTGAATGCAACCTCTGACCACATGATCCTCCGCACAGGAGCTTCGTGACTATAGGAGTGTTTTAGTAACAATGTTTGCAAAGACACTGGTACAATTAGGCAATGTTTTACTGGAAATAAGTGCAAGTTTCAGATGTACAAGTACAGAAACAAAAATACTCACTCTCTTTCATACAGATGTCAACAGCCAGAACAGCCTGCGATATGTTGTCTTTATTAGAGCGCATGTCCTTGACCACAGCATTATTCAGCTCCTTTTTGAAGTCACTTAAACTTTCCTGCTTAAAACCTGAAAAATATATTACATAAAAATAAATTAATTATATAAGAAAATGTAAAAGTGTAATCTCAGCCAAATCTTTTTCCTAACTTTGGATATAAAGGGGGAATGTTAGAACCTCTGTCCTGTTTTTAATTGTTATTCTGCAGTTGGGAAACATCCCTTCACTTCCTGAGTGTCCCCACTTAGGGGATTCCTATGTGATCACCAGGTCAGACAGTAAAGACAAACCTTTCCCACTGGCATTCAGACCACAATAAACAGCTGACACAGGAACTAACCCGTCCACCAAAATATGTTGGAATTACACTTTCATATACCTTTTAAAGTGGCAGCTGTCTGTGAATATTGCAGAAGGAAAAAAAAATACATGTACAAACAAGCGTATACATTTGCCTTTTAAAAATATACGTTTTTAAAGTTACTTTACTATTTCAAAAGCACAATAAAAGGATAACTAAATTATTCTAACCACCACACTTCTTTCCCAAGACCCAAAAGAACATTTTTTTCTCAGCTGGGCATAAGTGTAGGTGGACAGCTCATATGTACATCAACAACTAGGTTTTACACATTAGCAGTTCTCTTGTCGCAAGTAAACATGTCTGATTACATTTAGCGTTCTTTATGGCTTCTCTTTAAACACCACCTGTGCTTGTAATGCTTCAACTAGACAGCTTCTGTATTATGGTCTAAAGCAGGCTATATAAGGGTCAGTTTTTTTGATCAGCAGATTCCCCCTTCCACATAAGTGAGGTGGATGGAGAAATCCTCCCTGCTGTGCTATTATATTTTGACAGTGGGAACTCCACTGCTTTCAGAATACATTGATCATCAATGCAGCAGATTGGCTACAGGCCTGACTAAACAAAGATTATCCACCAAGCCCATCTGTAAGAAGCCAATCTCACGAATGGGAAACGACCTTAGATGGATCACAATTCAGCCAGTCACTGCTGAACAGGCCAAATTTTGATCCATCATTGGCAAACTTAAGAAGAGAAGGGTGCACATGTGGTTGGTGGGAGAGGTCTACAGCTGATGCGAGGAACAGTGGGGATGATATTAATGGATAGTTTGAGTGAAATTGGGAAGTTTGCCCTCCAGTTTATTAAATCTATGGTAACCCTTTAGACTGTCCTTCCTTAAACTGGAACTTCGGTCAAATAGTGAAGTCCAGCTGATCCTCTTCCTTCCCCTAGCCTGTAACTGAGTTGAAAGTTTTTTATTTTTTTGGGAAGGGGCGAGTACTATTTTATTTTTCACACGTTCCACATTCCAGGAGGCTGCAGGACCAGTTTGCCTGCGCCTTGCAAGCTCGAGCCAGCTGTGATTCATTAAGGAATTCCTAGCTGGCTCTCAAATCCAAGATAGCGGCACCGGGGACCCACAGCAGTGCAAATAATTGGCAGTGGAAAGAGTGTGCTGCAATCTATGCACCAATAAGTACCTGATCTTAAAAACCAGCAGCTGCATTAATTCCAAATTGAGAGTTCTGACTTTGCACTGACTCGATGCATGCTCATTGTAGGTCAGTGACTCAATTCATTGAAGCCAAAGACAGCGACATAGCTAGCATTTTCAGAAGGTTGGAAGCCTACATGTTTTTTCTATATGACATGTTTTTATAAAAACTGGTAGGCTCTCTTTCAACAAACTAAACAGGAATAATAAAGTGAATGGTTCAACAATTCTGTCCACAGTGATTATAATTCAAAGCACTTACCAATCTGGCAGGGTACATAGAAGTAGGGAGCAAAGCCATGAATGTGGCAGCATACACTGTTGCCATCTGCTGTGATACCAAACACCCGAATTATGGGGACGGGTCCGTGCGTGGCTCCCAGCATACCAGGCAAATGTATTCCTAAAAGACATATAGATATTACATTCAGTAAGAAAAGCTTGCAAGTAGCTGCTGTGTTATACCGTATATCTCAAAGCCAACACAAATAGTTGCATCAAGGGTATTGGCTGACTACTACAGACAGATTTTGCCAAGCAAAAAAAAAAAAAAAAAAAAGATTTAAATCAGGGGAAGCAAACTATCTATCATCTCTCCCACTTGGCTTAAGTAAAAATACAATTTTCCCAACACTAACCCTACAAGTCAGGAAACAAGGTCTATTCTATTTCTAATGTGAAACTGAAACAGAGATCACAACGTCACACATCGTAATATATACTGTAAATGCTGCAGGCAACTACAAGACCTCTGTATTAAACAATCCTTTTCTACTGAAAGCAGTATTTCAGAGCCAAATCATATTCATGGGTGTCCCATAAACTATTAAAGCTGGATTGCAACGTTTGGTTTCTTACTAAGGGGTTGTGTCAGTCCTAAATTGGCGGGGGCGGATATGGTGGCACCATTACCGGGGTCTGTGGAAGCAAGTTGGGGGGCAGCACAGCCGTCCTACTGAGTTTTATACACAATCCCGGTGGCTGCAGCCACCAGATTGTGTGTAAAACCCAATGCTGCAGGTCTGTAAAATGTATGGACCTTGCAGCGAAAGGGTTAATGGGAAGACTGCACCATACAAAGATAACTTCATGCAGCAGCCTAGGACTGCTGTACTGACACACACATGCTGCAGCATAGAGGTGAGTATGTATATTTTTACTAATCCAAAATTTCTCTTTTAATGAAGAGTTTCCTCTCACTCACTACCTGGCTGGCAGCAAGGGAAGGTTAGGGGAAATTAGCAAGACAATAAAAAATGTGATATGCACTTGCCAGCACAGAATCGCTTATCGTATGAAAAGGTTTTCCAGGATACCACAAAACCGCATCTAGATTTTTTCCTTTTTTTTTTTTTTTATAAATAAATTAAAATATATATTTTAATATACCTCCAGCTTCAACAGACAATAATAGTAATAGAGCAAAAAAATAATCACATATCACTAATGGTTAAACTATTGTGCTTTAAAAGGTTTAAAAAACCAATAACACCCGGAAACATAAAGAGTCATTGAAATTTATTATGGCATTTGACACTTAACAGCAATTAAAAACTAGTGATACATGATCTATCCACCAACACAAGTTACTATTTCCCCCCTCCCTACAAGCTCTCCAGTGAAGGTGAGAAATTTAGATCATCGCCAGGGGAATTCCTGGCCCATCTCACCCATCCACTTCCCATATCATCGTAATCCATTGCTTTCATTGAATTCAAACGGCCAGAGAAGGGGGACAACAGGTAATTGTTGCCAAGTGTAAGTTAATGTAAAATTGCTTCCCCTTTGTACCAATTACACTTGATGTAATCTTCCACAGTGCTCTACTTCCTTATTTACACAGAACAAAGCCTGTGCCGAGAGCAGATGGTGTAGAGACTGGCTTCTATACAAAACCAGGCTGTGTGTGGACAGCATGGTGTCCAAATTGCTAGCATCTCTTCCCATACAGTAATACGGTTCATGGTTCAGTTCCTACTAAGACGTCTCTGCAAAGTCCAGTCTTGTAGGGTCCAGCTGCAGCACTCCAAAAATCTGGAGGCATGACTAACATTTCTTTGTAATGGAATTTAGTACGGGATGCAGGACTTGTATTTTTAGACAATTATATATGCAGTGTTATATATGCAGCTACCTTCAGGTGACTGGACACTGAAAACTTGCTAGTGCCACCCCCAGAATGGCACTCCACGACACTCCAGTTTCTTAGCAAGAAATAAAAAGTGATCAAGACACAGAGGGGAGGGGCCCGTGTCCTGTACTGTACTCCAAGATAAGGAATTTACAGGTACACTATATTGCCAAAAGTATTGGGATGCCTGCCCTTACATGCACATGAACTTTAATGGCATCCCAGTCTTAGTCTGTTGGGTTCAATATTAAGTAGGCCCACCCTTTGCAGCTATAACAGCTTCAACTCTTCTGGGAAGGCTGTTCACAAGGTTTAGGAGTGTGTCTATGGGAATGTTTGACCATTCTTCCAGAAGCGCATTTGTGAGGTCAGGCACTGATGTAGGATGAGAAGGCCTGGCTCACAGTCTCCGCTCTAATTTATCCCGAAGGTGCTTTGTCGGATTGAGGTAAGGACTCTGTGCAGACCTGTCAAGTTCCTCCACCCCAAACTCGCTCATCCATGTCTTTATGTAACTTGCTTTGTGCATTGGTCTGCAGTCATATTGGAACAGGAAGGGGCCATCCCCAAACTGTTCCCACAAAGTTGTGAGCATGAAATTGTCCAAAATGTCTTAATATGCTGACACCTTAAGAGTTCCCTTCACTGCAACTAAGGGGCCAAACCCTGAAAAACGACCCCACATCATAATCCCCTCCATCCACCAAACCTTACACTTGGCACACAGCAGTCAGGAAAGTACTGTTCTCCTGACAACTGCCAAACCCAGACATGCCCATTGGATTTCCAGATGAAGTGTAATTGTCCCTCCAGAGAACACATTTCTGCAGTTCTAGAGTCCAGAGGCGGCATGCTTTACACCACTGCATCCGATGCTTTGCATTGTACTTTGTGATGTAAGGCTTGGATGCAGCTGCTCCGCCATGGAAACCCATTCCATGAAGCTCTCTATGCACTGTTGTTGTGCTAATCTGAAGGCCTCATGAAGTTTGGAAGTCTATAAATATTGACTCTACAGACCGTTGGTGACTTCTGCGCACTGTGCGCTTCAGCATGCACTGACCCAGCTCTGTCATTTTACATTGCCTAAAACTTTGTGGCTGAGTTGCTGTTGTTCCCAGTTGCTTCCACTTTGTTATAATACCACTAACAGTTGACTGTGGAAAATTTAGTAGCAAGGAAATTTCACAAATGGACTTATTGCACAGGTGGCAACCTATCACAGTACCACGCTTGAATTCATTGAGCTCCTGAGAGCAACCCATTCTTTCACAAATGTTTGTAGAAGCAGTCTACAAGCCTAGGTGCTTGATGTTATACACCTGTGGCCATGGAGGTGTTTGGAACACCTGAATCCAATGATTTGGAGGGGTGTCTCAAGACTTTTGGCAATATAGTGTACATCAAAATTACCATTATCTTAAATCGTACAGTACAGGACACAGGATTTGTATTCTTAAATCACGGGACATACCCAAACAGTAAACTGAGGGTTGGGCAACAATAGAGCAAATAGTACTGCAAACAGGCCCACACAGAAAAAAAAAGGAAGCCTAAATGCATATGGCCTGGAAATGAGTTGCCTGATACATCTAGCATGGTGAAAAAGGGAAGCCGGATACACTCTATGAGAGCCCACAGGCAGGACCCAGAGGGACTCAGTTTTGCAAGCAGTCAAAGTAGGGCAATTTCACTGTCGCTTTTGGGTCAGGACAAAGGGAAGGAAGAACAATGTCCTCACTGAGGTGGAAAGAAGAGTTCACCCTGGGTTGGAAGGAAGGTTTTGGCCTCAAAACCGCTTTGTCTTTGTGTAAAACAAGAAAAGGAAGATGTAATGGCAACCAAAACAATAAAACAAAAAAAAAAAAATTACAAGTGAGGCCTCTTGCACATGGTACGGATGTTTGAGCATCTGCTTATTTGGACGTGATTTCAGGCATTTGTTTTGCGCGTATTTGTATTTGAGACTGTTGTCTCTGACCCCCCCCCAATCTTTGCTTCTGCTCTGTCTTACCTCAAGTCTAATCCTAGTTTTATAACCATTGCTGTGTACATTTGTTTGTGTGTGTTTTTTTTTCTGTTTTCTTTTTTTTTTCCCCCTCAGATGGTTGCTTTAAGGTCCAAGCAGTACTACTTCACAAAGTTTTAGCAGAAGGGGACACACCTCGAAAGCTTGTCCTGAAAATTGTGTTAGTGCAAATAAAAAATGTATCATGGACAGTACTCAATTGTTAGGTTTGAATAGAAACCCTGAAAGGATTTCTTCGAAAGAAATCGGTACAACCACTCCTTGTGCCTTAAAGTTGGTGCAACGCGGTCATTAAATCTGTCTTCTTTTGGTCTAAAACTGGCAGATTGGAAGGCAAAAAGGTGAGGGGGGGGGGGCAGAGATAGAAACTCTATTTTGTCACCCTTAGACCAAAAGGTCAAGGTGTCTCAGATCCAGACTGGTACAAATGTCAACAGATGGCCCCCACCTGGAAGATTACTGCTGCTCAACAACTGCTGTTAAAGTTGTTACTCCATGAGTAGAGTTCAGTACTTGGAGTCCATTTAAGATTTTCTGTGCTGATCCCCAATGAAGAGGAGGGGAGATGTTTTTATATTACTTTTTAACAATTAAAATTGTCTTGGACTCTTTCATCAGGTTTTCGTTTGTCACTCCTCTCTGTGTTTCTATGACACTTCCTGTCCCTCTCCTCTGGAAGACTGAGCCTTCCAGCAGTTATACTGTACAGCATTTGTCCTCACTAGAAGTCTTAATAAAACATATTAAAATATAGATCTACTTATAATAAAACCTTTGCCAACAGTTTTTGGCCTTCTACTTCATGCAAATGTGCACAATCCTTATCCTTTTATCACTGTTACTAAATGAGCGGGCACAAGATTTTTCCAGGTCAGGGGCTCACTAGGTACTTTCATAAAAAATTGCAGTCCCCTTATTTCTGGTTCAATAATTTTTAATAAATTAGGAAGAATAACAATGAGAGCACCAGGTCTGCCAAGGGACATGAAAAGACTGTAGATATAAATACAAAATCAAAGACAGAAGCGGACAATAATGGCTGAACCAAATAGACATAGTAAAATGAGCAAATAGGTCCAGGTAGGGTCTGAAAGGGCAATAGCATCCGACCTAGACAAGTCAATTACCTAACGGTTGCACAATATGGAGCATGAGCCAAGCCAGAATAGGAAAAGAGGTGCAGCGATGCCAAAGAAAAAGGAGGAGAAAGGAAACAAAAGAATTCCCCTTATTTCAAACCTGAGGGGTTTCTTTCAATGAATAGCTGCCATGAAAGAAATGCATGAGCTACCATTGGTGACCTCCTCCTTGATAACTGCCTAGCTTTCATTCAGATCACTTGCAGCAATGACCTAAGGCAAGCACAGAGTTGGCCATACACTTTTTTTTATTTGTTCTGATTTTTTCATCTGTCCGCACTGTATAGAATCTCCTGCAGTTCTCATTGTAATTTGACAGCAGGCTCGTCAACTATCAAAATACCCAAACAGGGGGCTGTATCTAAATGGACTGAGGTTTGACCAACAATTTCCCAACCTGTTCCTTCCATTTTTCAATAATGGATGTCGGGTGGGAGGAGGCCAACAAGGTCACCCACTAAGTGGAGTCCAGCTGGTTCATTGGGAACCAGATGAAATTTGAACAGTATAGGGCCAGCATAACTAAGAAAATATTGAAGGCAGAGGATTAGGAAGACAGAAAAGCCACTATCACCTTCAGGTCAGCAAGACTACCTACTTATTTCTCTTATGACAGGTTTCCTTTAACCAGCACCTTGGCAGAAAATATTTTACTACCACCAACATGAATTTAAAAGAGAGGAATATACCCATCTGTAACTTACCAACATAATAGTCCAGTTCAATCTGATGAAAGCACACAGAATCTTTAAGAGCATCAATAGAGGGTAGAGAAGGCCGGAGCCACTTTGGTGAAATCTTGTCTGACAGTTTCACTGAAGTGATTTAAGAGTAAAACAAAAAGTTACTACATTTCTTCAGGCACTAAAACATTACCCTGCACTTATCACATTAAAGTACAACTGAAGGAAAGAAAACTTATTTTTTCAAATCTAGATAGAGAAATGGTGATCTAATAATCCCTTTCCACTTTATCTTTAAAAAAAAAAAAAAAAACGTTTTGCCTTCAGTTATACTTTAACACTTAATTTATACTATAATATAACCATGCAACTTTGGAGTAAATATTTGTTGTAGTATATTTTAACACAGTATAAGAGTAAATAACCCAAAAATATATGTTCAGACTTATCAGTCCTTGGTGACAAATGATTACTCACCCTACTATAAAGAAATATAAATAACCAGCATTCTCAACATTCTTATCTGTCAAAAAGGTAGACTGGGTGCTAGGAACAGGCAGACTCCAATCTGCCACTGTTATATCATTCCAATGAATGTGCCTCTTCCACAATTTACTGTATACGACAGTCATAGCTTTCCTTCAAAGTAACTGTGCAATCAGTTAGGATGAGCAAATATACCTGAGATCAGTTCCGTGAATCCTGTTCACAAAATTTGAGGGGAACCCCACTGAATCCTATGGGTGCAAGCTTTGCCAAACAAAAGACACGGAAGGCTGAACATTGTCCCTAAACTGAATTGTCAGTTCTTCCTAACCATTCCTACACACACTAACAACATGGCTGCTATAAGACCATCCAATTATAGAAATAGGGGCTGGATAATCCATTACTTGAATAGCAATTGGCTCTTCATCTTACCAGGAGATATGGCTATGCACTGCATTATAGGCTGTTCCTTATTTCTCGTGGCGAGCCTACAAACTTTTCAGCCAAAACACTAGGTCAGTGGTGGGCAACCTTTTTTTTTCAACTGAGCCAAATCTCGCCAAAACCACGATTGAAATTTATTTTGAGAGCCTCATTTTTAAAACTGAAAATACATCCCCCATATAGTAATTCATCCCCCATAGTAATTCATCCCCCATATAGTAATTCATCCCCCATATAGTAATTCATCCCCCATAGTAATTCATCCCCCATATAGTAATTCATCCCCCATAGAGTAATTCATCCCCCATAGAGTAATTCATCCCCCATAGAGTAATTCATCCCCCATAGTAATTAATCCCCCATATAGTAATTCATCCCCCATAGTAATTCATCCCCCATATAGTAATTCATCCCCCCTATAGTAATTCATTCCCCATATTGTGTCAATTCACTTACCTTTGCTCCGCGCGTTCCTCTCGCCGTGTTCCCGCGCCGTTCCGGTCTTCAGGGCGGACTGTGAGAGGAGAGGAGTTCGTCACGCTGCCCCGCCTACATCCTGACAGCCAATGTTTGCCACGCTTCGCGGGCCGGATTAAAAGGTCCGCCGGGCTGTAGTTTGCCCATTGCTGGGCTAGCTGCAGAGTCCTGACTTTTGGGGCGGCCGCCCGAGAGGAGGGAGGGGAGCGGGCGCCCGGCACACAGAAGAGCCGCATTAAAGTGTGTGAAGAGCCGCATGTGGCTCGCGAGCCGCGGCTTGCCGACCACTGCACTAGGTGATTCTAAATGATCTTTTTTTTTTTTTAAATAACAAATATGTAAATTTGACCTGCTTTGTGCAATGGTTTTGCACAGAGCAGCCCTGATCCTCCCTTCTCGGAGCCTCCCCCTCGCCGATTGCCCACTATAGCAAGCTGCTTGTTATGGGGGTACTCATGCGGGCTTGCTCCCGAACCATACTGACAAAAAAAAATGAGGAATAGAGGGAAGTATAGGAAATCACTGATTGCTCAATCACCTAATAAGTGTTGCTGTCTAAACCATAGTCAGGCACAAAAACAAAATAGTCCCATGATTGGAGAAAGCCCACACCTTGGGACAAGTGGTTAGTTCCACAGCAAACAAGGCTTGTATCAGACCTTACGATGTAAAAATATTTATTTATTCATGGCAAAAATGTTTTGCAATGCAACAAAATAGAAACATACACATTGACATACAAACAAGAAATTAAAAAAAAACAAACAATGTCAAGATAAAGACGTCCGAACATCAATAATACTGTATGCATGTGTTCCCCGTGGAAAGCTGTCCCAAATCCTGGGATATGTGAAACTGTCAATAGTAGATAAATACAACACCGTGAGGTCTACATGCATACAGGCCCTGGGCCCGTTCACACTAAATGAGTATGACATGGATGATGCTCGTGATGGGAAGTAATTCCCTTGAAATTGCGTGACACTAAGACCTTAAGTGGCAAGTCCAAAATCACTGTTAATGGTCCTGTAAGAAGAAATTGGAGGAATCATAGATATCAACTGTAAGATGGTTTGGCATATAGATTTTAGTATGTGATCACAGGTCCATTAAATCTGAAGATAGTGAAATGGCGCATTGATCCAGATGGTATAACCACATTACTTGTACCAGCTGTATAATTGTAGTAGTTCAACAGACGCTGAGATAGCAGATTGCCCATAAAAACAGCAATGGATATTCAAAGCATGGTGGCAAGGTCATCGCCAAAATATTGCATGGGGAGTGCAGAAACTCCACCTCAGTATCCAAACAATAGTAACACCAGGTCTGTGGTGGAAATACCGTATTTACAAGCTCACTGACCACATGTTATAAGTCTCGAGAGCTGCAGCAATCATGATCCACCTGGCTAATAAGTATGCAGATCTGTAGAACCTGGTGTTTAGATTCTCACTAGTCACTATGCTGTTCAGGGCAAATGTAAGAGAACAGTCTTACCATTCCATAGCCATCCCAAAGTCAGTACTGTCTGTGGTGTGTGAGAGTCGCTGCAAAAATTCCAAGCTGTGGTGGATCTGTCCACATCGAGCCATCACCCTTGTATTTAGGCTAGGGGGTGTGAAAGTGTGATGTCACTGATGCCTCATGGCGTTAACAAGTTTTGCTTATATACAAGCGTAGCTTCGTCAGGACGGGTGGCGTAATCACTCCGTCATGCGGGTGGCGTAATCACTCCGTTTATATGGTGGCTTATCACACCCATAGCCGCACGGTGTAATTCTCTTAAGGAGGACGTATGTTTCACCTAACCAAGTAAAACGTAGCATACCAGCCAATTTAATCTCTTAGCATTAGGTATCAAATAAACTTGTTTTAACCCATCAGCTATTTCAAGATGTAAATAATCCATACATCCTCCAATGACATCAATTCAATATCAGAGTTTGGGAGACAGGTACTACTATACTTCCAAGAAGACCTGAAGATTCAGCTCAGTGTTAAGACCAAGTGGGGCCAATTATCTCAATTTAGAAATCCACCATTTTTCTTTTCTGAGTAGAACTGTGTTGACATTACCCTGTCAAGATTATACAGGCAGCTGATCACTGTAGGGGCTTGCTGAAGCACCAAACGCGCAGTTTGACCTACCTATGCAGGTGCTCAACATCATGTGGTGAGTGGGGCTCTGGAGGGGGGGGAGCAACAAGTGGCGCACTCAACACAAAAAATTTTGATGGATAAGAAGGCTGATCACTGAATCACCTAGTCTCACATGGGATGTGGAAAGTGTCTCACATTGGGACTTTAAATATTTGAATGTGGAAAGTGGTGTACTGGGACTCGAATATTCACATACAAATGCACTGTGTTTATGTACCGTATTTTTCGCTCCATAAGACGCACTTTTTTCGCCCCAAAAAAGGGGGGAAAATGTCAGTGCGTCTTATGGAGCGAATATAAAGCGGCCGGTCCGGTATTTTTGCGGCCACCATGTCAGAATATCGGGCCGGCCGCTCAGCTGTTGTCTCCTGCAGGGCCTTACCTGTTCCTCGCTCCAGCGCTGCACGGTCTTCCCGCGCTGGCTTCTGTGACAGCCGGGTGCCCACTGCGCATGTACTGCGCTTTGTGAATGATCCGGTGTCTTCTGGGACACATGACAGGTCCCAGAAGGCGCCGGGCCATTCACAAAGCGCAGCGCTTCTCGCACATGCGCAGTGGGCACCCGGCTGTCACAGAAGTCGGCCCGGGAAGAAGAGGGAAGGCAACTCCGCGGAAGTGGGAGCGGGTACCTGTCAAATTTAGGTACCCGCTCCCCCTCCCCAAAGGTCAGCAGTCTCTGGTCATCCCCTGCACTGTCCGCAGTCTCTGGTCATCCCCCCTGCAGTCTCTGTCATCCCCGCAGTCCGCAGTCTCTGGTCATCCCCTGCACTGTCCGCAGTCTCTGGTCATCCCCTGCACTGTCCGCAGTCTCTGGTCATCCCCTGCACTGTCCGTCCCAGTCTCTGTCATCCCCTGCACTGTCCGCAGTCTCTGGTCATCCCCTGCACTGTCCGCAGTCTCTGTCATCCCCTGCACTGTCCGCAGTCTCCTGTCACTGTCCGCAGTCTCTGGTCATCCCCTGCACTGTCCGCAGTCTCTGGTCATCCCCTGCACTGTCCGCAGTCTCTGTCATCCCCTGCACTGTCCGCAGTCTCTGGTCATCCCCCTGCACTGTCCGCAGTCTCTGGTCATCTCCTGCACCGTCCTGCAGTCTCTGGTCATCTCCTGCACTGTGTCCGCAGTCTCTGGTCATCTCCTGCACTGCACTGTGTCCGCAGTCTCTGGTCATCTCCTGCACTGTGTCCGCAGTCTCTGGTCATCTCCTGCACTGTGTCCGCAGTCTCTGGTCATCTCCTGCACTGTGTCCGCAGTCTCTGGTCATCTCCTGCACTGTGTCCGCAGTCTCTTGTCATCTCCTGTACTGTGTCCGCAGTCTCTTGGTCATCCCCTGTACTGTGTCCGCAGTCTCTTGGTCATCATCCCTGTACTGTGTCCGCAGTCTCTGGTCATCTCCTGTACTGTGTCCGCAGTCTCTGGTCATCCCCTGTACTGTGTCCGCAGTCTCTGGTCATCCCCTGTACTGTGTCCGCAGTCTCCTGGTCATCCCCTGTACTGTGTCCGCAGTCTCTGGTCATCCCCTGTACTGTGTCCGCAGTCTCTTGGTCATCCCCTGTACTTTGTTTGCAGTCTCTGGTCATCTCCTGTACTATGTCCGCAGTCTCTGGTCATCCCCTGTACTGTGTCCGCAGTCTCTGGTCATCCCCTGTACTGTGTCCGCAGTCTCTGGTCAGTCCCTGTATTGGTTGCAGTCCATTGGTTCAGAATATTTTTTTTTTCTTGTTTTTCACCTCTAAAACCTAGGTGCGTCTTATGGTCAGGTGCGTCTTCTGGAGCGAAAAATACGGTATATTAATATTTCCATGTTTTGACTGTAACCGGTTCACATTGAGAGAACTGAAATCCATGATTGTTGCATTATTTGCACTATATTTCACTAATCTAGCACAGTTTGTTAACATTAGTTTAGTACGTAGGATATATAGAAATGTTAAATTTCCCTCTAATATAGGGATGCCCTGAGACCCTGGAGAGGAGGGGCACGCTTTAAGTTTATAAAGGTATAGAGGTACACATTTATCTGTGGGCCACCATTACGAAAGCAGCGTGGCACATTTACTCACTAGTGGCAGCGCAGCATTTATGTTTGTATTTACACATTTGTTTGTATTTATACACTTGTGGTATTGCTAGCAGCAGCCAGCTTCATCTACACATTAACCATAGTCCACTGCGCAGGCTCCACTTATACAAAAATACCTTTTATTTTCATCCCCTCTGGACTACCTTCATGGAATTTCCTAAAGTGCTTGGCAAGTGGTTTTTCCAGGTTCTTCGGGCTTTTATCTTTAATTTCTCGTATATGTTCCCCTATCCTCACTTTTAGTTGTCTTTTAGTCTTGCCAATGCAGATTTTATTGCAGAACCAGGTGATCACCTTGTTGTGGAGCAATTAATAAGATCTCTAATTCGGAAACTGTTTTCTTTCAATGTATCTTGAAAGACATTAGTTCGATCCATATATTTACAGATTTGACATTGCCACGTGGATACATTCCCCTTGTCCTGGGGTGATCAGAGAGCCAATCACTTGGCGAGGTCTTAAATTCAGAGTGGATTAAAATATCTCCAAGATTCTGCGTTCTTCTAGCCACCATCTGTGGAAATTGTCCCATGATGGTGTCCAATCCCTGACTATTTGAAAGTATTCCCAAATGTTTTTGGAGTATTTCTCTTACCTTGTCCCATTGGAAACCAAAAGAGGCGATTAATCATACTGGGCCATCAAGATTCTCACATTCTTTAATTGTTTTTTTGGTTAGGAGGCTATTCCTGTCATAATTTTCCACCTTCCTTTTATCTCTACATAGTTGCCTATGTGAATATCCCCGTTCTCGAAAGCGGGCATATAGATCTCTAGCCTCTTTTTTATAAATCAGTATTTTTAGCACAATTCTGCTTAACGCAACGGAATTGACCTACAGGTATCCCATTTTTTTAACCAGGCTGGGTGATGGCTATCAGCTTGTAGAAGCGTATTCGCTGCCATATCTTTGTGATGGGTAAGTTTCACTAACTGGCCATCCTCTATTGATATCGAGAGATCAAGAAAGGAGATCTGTCTGCTATCACATGTATAGGTTAAGTGGATATTTCTGTCATTCTGATTAAGGTAGTCCATGAACTGACCGAAGACTTCAATATCCCCTCTCCAAAGGACAAACACATCATCGTTGTACCTTAGCCATGTATAGATGTGGCGTTGGTACATAAGTGAGGTATATACATCTTGTTCCTCCCACATGCCTAAGTGAAGGCATGCATAGGCTGGAGCCCAGGGTGCACCCGTAGAGGTACCTTGTACCTGTTGATATCTCCCAGAAAATTAGAAGAAGTTATTGCTGAAAGCGAATTCCAGCAGGTCAAGGATAAATTCATCAAATTCAGGGAAATAGTGGTTCAGGAAGAACTCAACATCTTTTAAACCACAGTGATGGGGAATCGATGTATAAAGTGATTCAACATCTAACCCTATCAACCATAGATCCTCTTCCACCTTTAGCTCAGCTATCCAGGCTAAGATATCTCTAGTATCCGGTACAAAGGACTTCAGTTGGCATATCATGTCTTTTAATAAAATATCAAGATACTTTCCAACTCTCTCAAGTGGCCCCTTAACCGCTGAGACTTATGGTCTCCCTGGGGGGGTTTGTTAAGCTCCTATGTACCTTTGGTATTATCTAAAAGGTCGGTATAATGTAGTCACATATTTTAAGGTAGTTAAATTCCTGGTTGGTAATTAAAGCTACTTTCTTAGCCATATTCAATTTGTCATTAAATGTACCCACCAGGGTAGGAAAGGGGTTAGTGTCCAGTTGTTTATAAGTCATATGGTTGTCCAGTTGTCACTTTACTTCTTTTAGGCAATTTGTCTCACTCATAAGGACTATATTTCCCCCTTTATCACTTCTCTTAATTAAAAGTTGTTTAGCTTCTCTCAACTCTAGTAATGCCTTCCATTCCTCCGGGTTTAAGTTGTCATAATTACCTATATTCCAATCAATCATTTTTAAATCCCTCTGTACCAGATCCAGGAAAAGGCTCAGCCATTATTTCTGCTTAAAGGTGGCATTTTAGTTGATCTAATGTCCAAATTTGCTTTCTCCTGGAAATGGTAGTATGTTCATCTGTGCCTTCATTCTCCTCCAGCAATGAAACTAATGTATCCAACATCATCATATCCTGATCCTCAGGTCGAGGATCCGGTTCCAATATTAGAACTTTTTGGGCATGCAAGGATCTAAAAAAAAACTTTATGTAAAAATAATGTAATTTCCTTGTATACCGTACATTCATCCATATTGCTAGTTGGAGAAAATGACATGACCCTTTACAAGAGTCTTATATGCCTCGGAGCAAGTGGAAAGTCAGATAAATTAATGACCTATCCTCCGAGGAAGATTTTAAATTCACATCTATTTCTCCTTTCTCAAATTCCTTGCTCTTGTCTTTCAGTCCTGTATTGGTTTTCCTTTTGAGTTCCCCTTTTCCACTTCCTGTTCTCTTCTTCACTTGGGGAGTTCTAGGGGCCTCTCGGCTACTCTCCCCTCTTCTCTCTGGGTCTATAAAAGTCACAGTTTTTTGGGCAGTGGGTCTTAGTGTCACGAAATTTCAAGGGAATTACTTCCTATCACGAGCATCATCCATATCATACTCATTTAGTGTGAACGGGTCCAGGGCATGTATGCATGAAGACCTTACGGTGCTGTATTTATCTACTATTGATAGTTTCACATATCCCAGGATTTCGGACAGTTTCCACGGGGAATACAAGCATACAGTATTATTGACGTCTGGACATCTTTATCATGACATTTTTTTTTTTTAACTTCTTGTTTGTATGTCAATGTATATGTTGTGGTCACTGAGCACTGCAAGTTAATTTTATTTTGTTGCATTGCAAAACTTTTTTGTCATGAATAAATATTTTTATATGGTATAGTCTGATACAAGCCTTGTTTGCTGTTTGCTGGAACTAACCACTTGTCCCATGGTGTGGCTTTACCCAAACCTGTGACTATTTCGTTTTTGCTCCCCAGCAACCTATGTGTCCATAAAACACACAGAGTGGCTCAACCCCACCCCCCGTTTCCTCCTTACTGGCTGTGAATGACAGCAGCGGGAGCCAATGAGAAGTGAGAGATTCAGGAGAGCCTCCATTCTTATGGTCGTCACTGGATTGAAATCAACCTTCTGCCTTTACAATCACTTTAGCAATTTGTGGATCCTTGGGATTTGTCATGAACCTATTGTAGCAGCGCACCTGGACCTCATTACTCAGTGGTGAGCCTTAACCAAGAGCTTTAAGCGAAGCGGAGCATCATTCCAAAATTAGGATTTCAGTTTTTAGCTTCAAATACAGCAAGGGATCTGACTAACTGGCTCCTCTTTGTTTTCAATGTTTCTGTGACTCAAGACCACTGTTAGGTAACCAAGGATTTTACCTACCAATAGGCAACGCATCTGCATCAGAATATGCTTCATTCATTCATTTCTAAGGCCATATCTGCTTCAACTTCATCCAAGAATGCCAGTTCCTCTTCAAACTGCGAGGGGCCATCATCATCATCCAAGTCTGATTTTTTCTTTTTGGACTGGGAGGCTGGGAAACCTCCAGCAGACATCCCTTTTTTACGCTTGGAATCCATTTTTCAAGGTCTGCAAACAGAAATCATTAAATAAAACACAATTTTTTCAAAGTAAAAAACAATATTTATCACATCAGAAATGGTTGTTAAACCAGACCTGAAGCTTCCTATCAGCCTAAGCTACTCAAAAAAAACAGCCATGTGGCTGTGAAAAAAAACTGAAGCTGAAACAGTTATTGCACTGCACTATTCAATTCTGTTTTTTACCATGCTGGCTAGTGTGGATGTGTATCTTGCCATCACTGTTCATGTCCAAAGAATAAAAAAACCCCCAAAAAAAACAGAGAAGCCCCAGTAAACCGAATTCAGGTTCTTAAAAGGGAAGATGCTTAAAAGGGAAGTATGGTTTTAAAGAACAAAAAACATATCCTCACCTAAATGGATGCAACATCAATCCGATGCTGTATCTGTCCACCAGTTCTCTGCGCTGCCCCTTCAGTGCTCATGGGGGGGGTGCTGTGGAGCGGGTGGGATAAGCTGGCTCAGGCTCTTGGAGGATCTGAGAGGCTAAAAAGATGCCAGTCCAGGCTTCTTGGTGGACCCCAACCATATGGTCGGGACCATTTCAGAGCCTGGACTGGCTGAGTGATATCAGCCAACAGCAGACTTCAGCCCGCTGTTGGCTAAAAATGGGTCATAGGATTGCAGAACGAATTGTACTGCTGTGACTTATAGAAGAAGTATAAACAAAAAAGTTTTGATTATACATTTATCAAACCCAAGCACTGTCATGCGTACCTACCCCTTTGTAAATATTGATGTTCAGTTTGGCATTTGCGTAGGGTTGTTAGGGAGCTGCAGGGGAAGGTCAGAGCAGCACAGACAAATATGCAGATAGTTCACATTGTTACTTCCAATAATCTGCTTTGGTTCACACTATACAACTGCAAATTTATCCAATTTTCAATGCAACTTACACAACTCCAATTCCAAAAAAGTTGGGATGCAGTGTAAAATCTACATTATTATTATTATACAGAATTGGAATGGGGGATGAACTGATAGGAGGAATAGAAGATTCCGTTATTAGCTGAAGGCGGGATAGGCTTCCCTGAAGAGATAGGTTTTCAGAAATCGCCTAAAAGTGGGCAGAGTAGGCGACGGTCGGATAGACTGTGGTAAAGAGTTGGGGGAGGCTCTTGAGAAGTCCTGGAGACAAGCATGGGAGGAGGAAACAAGGGAGCTAGAGAACAGGAGGTCGTGGGAGCAGCGGAGAGGACAGTTTGGGTGATATTTGGAGACAAGATTGGTGATGTAATTTGGGGCAGTTATAAATGGCTTTATATGTTATTTTTAATGTTTTAAATTTTATTCGTTGGGCAATGGGAAGCCAGTGGAAGGATTGTCAGAGAGGGATGGCAGATATGGAACGGTTAGTACGGAGGATGAGTCTGGCAGCAACATTCATGATAGACTGAAGAGGGGATAGCCTGCGATTAGGTAGGTCAATGAGGAGGGAGTTACAATAGTCAAGGCGAGAGATAACAAGGGAGTGAATTGAATAACATATAATCGATTAGTGCAGCGCTAAACATATGATGTGAATAACATATATATGAAAAACTAATCACAGTAAAATATCTAATCACAGTAAAATGTCACACATCTAATCATGCAAAAAAGGTGACCAAACAATGTGATTATTTAGAGGAATAAATCGCAATACTAAACGTGTCCCCCAGTGCCACTCACTGATGTGAATGTGAGTAAATTAGATATCACAAAAAGTTCATAACACTATGCCGTGGTGCTCAACTCCAAACGATATGATGCAATACAAGTGATCACACAATAACTTCAGGTGATGGTGAGTAACTCTCCTCCTGTGGTAAAATTGCCCCCTCACCTCCACTCTACGGCCCATATGCCTTTAAGATCACTCAGGATCTTGATCCACCATAGATAGAAATCACCAGAAAATCTCTCCAAGGATTCCCATCCGGTAGGTATTCAGGATACACTGGCTCCTGGTCTCAGCACGATATACCTAAAATTCTTGCTGAGCATTCAGCACTCTCTTTGACTTGCTGACACAGCCAGGAGCCCGAAGAATATTACAGCAGGTGTTTTCATCAATGCAAGGGGATGTGGGTGCCACATCCCCTTGCACTGATGAAAACAGAGCACCCACAACCCCTTGCATTGATGAAAACGAGAGCACCCACAACCCCTTGCATTGATGAAAAACGAGAGCACCCACAACCCCTTGCATTGATGAAAACACCTGCTGTAATATTCTTCTTGTGATATCTAATTTACTCACATTCACATCAGTGAGTGGCACTGGGGGACACGTTTAGTATTGAGATTTATTCCTCTAAATAATCACATTGTTTGGTCACTTTTTTTTTCGCATGATTAGATGTGTGACATTTTACTGTGATTAGTTTTTTTTCATATATATGTTATTCACATCATATGTTTAGCGCTGCACTAATCGAATATATGTTATTGTATTATTGCTGTTGGGTACCAGTTTGAGTGCTAGCGGCTTTTGAGTGGTATAGTGACTCCATTGAGCGCAGGAGGACTACATATTAATAAAGGAGTGAATATGTTGCTTAGTGGTTTCAGAGGTTAAGAACGGGCGTATCTTGGAGATGTTGCAGAGGTGAAGTCTACAAGAATTGGACAGTGATTGGATTTGGGACTGAAAGGACAGATGGGAGTTCAGGATTACACCTAGTACCCTGGCATGAGGGGAGGGACTGATGGTTGTGGTATTGATCTTGATGAAGTAGTCAGGGGAAACGGGCTGGAGGGAACAGTATGAGCTCTGTTTTGGAAAGATTTAGTTTGAGGAAGTGCCGATATGTCACTTAGTGGGTTAGTAATGCAAGAGGAGACTGAAGGGGTGAGGTGAGTATCATCAGCATAGAGATGGTACTTAAAGCCATGGGAGTTTATCAAGGGACCCTACAGAAAGAGGAAGTGGGAAGGAGTAGAGAAGGTTATAGGTAACGCTGAAGGAGTGCTGCAATAGAAAGGAGGAGAACCAGGAGAGAGGAGAGGAGGAGGCCAAGAGAGTGGAGTTTTTTGAGGAGGAGGGGATTGTCAATAGTATCAAAAGCCAGAGAGGTCAAGTAGTAAGAGTACAGAGTAGTGACCATTGGTTTTAGTAGTTAGTAAATAATTAGTGAGTTTTAGTAGGGCAGTTTCAGTGGAGTGTAGTGAGCGAAAACCAGACTGTAAAAGGGTCACGAAGGTTGTTGTCAGTGAGGTAGGAGGTCAGGCGATTGTAGACTAAGCGTTCTAAGAGTTTAGAGGTAAACGAGAGCAGGGAGATGGGTCTTAAAAACATAAAAACAGAATGCAATAATTTGCAAAACCCATATTTTATTCATAATAGAAAAAAAAATGTTTAAAACAAATGTTTAAAATGAGAAAAATTTACCATTTTTAAGAAAAAAATAAGGACATTCTGAAAATGATTGCAGCATCACATCTCAAAAAAGTTGAAAACGGGCAACAAAAAACTGTCAAAGTACAACCCCAATTCCAAAAAAAGTTAGGGCAGTGCAATGTTTACCACGGGTGTAGCATCCACCCTTTTTTCTTTTCTGTTTAAAAAGTTTTATCCCCTCATTTTAACAATACTCTGTAAACATCTGGGAAATGAGACCAGTTGCTGGAGTTTTTGGAGAGGAATGTCCCATTCTTGCCTGACCATATGCTGCTCTAAAACCTTAAACATATCTTTCAGCATTGATGGTGCCTATCCAGATGTGCATGCTGCCCATTCAATACACACTAATGCCCCCCCATACCATCAGAAGTGCAGGCTTTTAAGCAGAGCGCTGAGATAACAAACCGTAAGGTTCCTCTCCTCTTTAGTATGGAGGACGCTGCACCTGGTTGCCAAAAAGAATGTCAAATTTTGATTCGTCTGACCATAGATGGTTTTCTACTTTGCAACAGACCATTTTAAGTAAGCTTTGGCTCATAGAAGACAACAGAGTTTCTGGAACATATTCAGATATGACTTCTTTGCATAATAGAGCTTTACCTTGCATTTTTGAATGGCACAGCAAACGGTGTTCACAGACAGTGATTTTTGGAAGTATTTCTGACCCCATTTAGTGATAGATATATATATATAATATATAATTTATTTCAGGTACTTATATAGCACCGTCGTGCTATATATATATTTTTCTTTTTTTTTTTTTTTACATACTGTCCCCAGTCAGTGTCCCTGATCACCGCCACGCCAGTTATATGGGTTTCCAATCCTTTACCACTCTGTGCAAAAACTAAAACGTTTTGCCTTTGGTTATATGTGTAGATATTGTAGAACCAGTGTTAGATTTGAGGGTGGAAAATATACCTCACATGGTCAGTACTATCACCCCCATTCTGCAATGTACAGCTGACAGCCACACAACTGAAGATTCTCCATTACTGAGACTGGAGACCTACAGAACCCCCCCAACATACAGTCAGCACCCCTCCAACCCTATGTCCCCCCGTGACAGCCCCCCAGTATACAGCGCAGCCAGCACCCCCTCCACCCCCGATATGCCCCCCGTGACAGCCCCCCAGTGTACAGCGCAGCCAGCACCCCCTCAACCCTTGATATACCTCCCTGTGACAGCCCCCCAGTGTACAACGCAGCCAGCACCCCCTCAACCCTCAATATGCCTCCCTGTAACAGCCCCCCAGTGTACAGCGCAGCCAGCACCCCCTACACCCCTGAAAAATGTCCCCCTGTGACAGCCCCCAGTGTACAGCGCAGCGGTACCCCTCCACCCCCGATATGCCCCCCTGTGACAGACCCTCAACCCCCATAGACACAGCGCAGACAGCATCCCCTCCACCCCCGATATGTCCCCCTGTGACAGCCCCCCAGTATACAACACAGCCAGCACCCCCTCCACCCCCGATATGTCCCCCGTGACAGCCCCCCAATATACAGCACAAGCAGCACCCCCTTCACCCTTGATATGTCCCCCTGTGACAGCCCCCCAGTACACAGCACAGCACCACCACTCCCCATATTT